CCTTCCACACACACCCCCACACTGCCAGTGTGAAGTGAAGAAAGTAAAAAATAACTAAATGACCGCATTGATCAGGACTGGCTAGCTCCTCCTGCAATAACAAACAACTCAAAAAAGGAAAAATCCCCATAGCCATCAGTCATTTCATTCATTCTTTTTCGAACTATACACACAACAAACAAATCTCCTTCCCAGGGTCCTAACCAGTCAACACAGCGCACTGGAAATCCAGTACTTCTGAGTGTTCGTCTCTTAGTCTGGACCTGACTTCTTTCCATCTGGAAACCTATGAACTCATCTGCTCCCTATCTCCTCGCCATGTTAATGGATGGGATAGCAGTAATAGCCCCTCCAAATTGGAAAGAGGAAGAATGAGACACATAGAGCAGCCTCTCTTCCATAAAAATTCTGCAGTTTTTTCTGGGTGCATCCTGCGGGGTCTATACTCTGGAAGCAATGAAGTCTCCGACCCCTGTTCTGCTCTTGGAAGAGCTCTCTTACCATTATTCTTCTAGTTCCTGGATCTCCCTCAGAGATCTTCCTTGGCTGCAATTGAAGCTTATGTTGAGTCTCAAATAATGACAGTCTCTTTTAGTCTAGGTTCATGAGTTTATTGGGCAGTAGTAATTTCTCAGAAACTCAGTAGACTTCTTATTTATTTGATTCCAGAGAATTCCAGGTACTAATAACCACATCCATGGTCCTTTTTTGAGACATATTTCTGTGCTATCTTGCTTCCTTACCTCTTTCTGGATTTAAGAGGGCTTCTGTGGGAAAGTTATACTCTTAATCTAAATATTTTCCTGAGTCACTTTAACAATTAAGAAGTTTTATCAGAGAGTGTAATGCCTATATATATCCCTAAGGCTGAGTATTAATCTATCTTCATGTTTGAAGACTAAATTTTATCTCTTGCTGTTTGGGGTTTAAAAGCATTTCTAAGTTTGCAAGGCCCTGAATTTCTGGAATCTCTCTATTCTCTTTCATTTTTATTGCACACTGGCCCAACTTTTCCCTGAGCTCACTTCTTCTTCATAATACATTGCCAGACACAGCCAACAGCAACCAAAACACACTACTAATATTTTGTTTCCAAACCTCATCTTCCAGACCTACAAATTTATTTGGTTTATGATCTACCTCCCAAGTAATCCCAGACAACGGTTTTACTAAATGTCTTGCTACTTCATAACATGAATTTTCTTTTTTTTAGTTTTCAGTATCAGTTTCTACTGCCTGATTGTTAAGCCAAGGGCTCATATTTTAGGTTTTTGCTAGAACCCTGCTCCTATTACCAATATCTGTATTGGCTAGTACAGGCTAGATTATTCTGCCTGTCATAATTCTAGAATTTACTTCTTGTTCATGCTATGTGCCCAGTCTTTGTCATTTGGGGGCTCTGTTCTACATGGTCATTCAAGGACCCAGATTGATGGAAGCTCCATCATGTTCTATTTGCCCCATTGTAACAAACCATCCCAAAACCTAGAGGCTTGAAACAACAATAATTAACTTCTCGTGATTCTGAGGGTTTGGTTGGGTGATTTTTCTGCAGGATGAGTCTGGGATCACTTATGCAGCTGCTTTCAGCTGGAAAGTAGGCTGAGGGATGAAGTCTGGGCAATTCTCTTGCCATGTGATCTTTCCTCCTTAAGAAGGCTAGACCAGGCTTCCTCACATGGTAGCAAGAAGGCAAACCCAAGAAGCTTTATCAAGCTTCTTCTTGCCTTATGTTTGCTAATACCCCATTATCTGAAGAAAGTCACATAGCCAAGCTCTTGTGTCAGTATAGGAAGGGCCTAAACAAGGGAATGGATACTGGGATGAGCAGTTCCCTGATTGCGTAACAATCTGTCATGACCATCTAGAGCAGGAGTCGGCAAACTTTTTCTTTAGTATCTAGATAGTAAATATTTTAAGCTTTGCAGGCCATACAGTCTCTGTCACAACTTCTCAACTCTGCTATTAGACAGAGACAATATATAAAGAAATGTGTAGCTACGTTCTAATAAAACTTTATTTACAGTAACGAGCAGCAGATCATATTTAGTCCACCATTGATCTGGATCATAAAGCCTTTATTCAGTCTCTGCAGCAAGGAAAGAAAGCTGGCTCTTTTATGCTTTGGCTCAGAAGTAGCACATGTCAGTTCTGCCTTTAGCCCATTGACCAAAACTAGTCATGTGGCCATACCTAACTGCAATGGGATGAGGAGTATAATCCTGCCCTGTGCTTGGAAGGAGAGGGCAGCTAGACATGAGTGGACACTAGAAGTCTTTACCACAGGACCCACATTGAGATGATGTCCATTTAGATCTTTACTGAGTACCAGGCACTGGTTATAAGTACTGAAGAAAATGGGCACAAAACTATCGCCCTCATGAGCTTATTCAGAGACCGTGATGGTTGGTACACTAAGAGGGAGGAGCATTTTATATATCTCTGCCCTGGAACTGTTAGTTATTTACTATTATTTGCACACTTGGCTTTTTCACCAGCTGAGCTGTGAGCAACTTGAGGGTATGGTTATATCTTCTCGGTGCCTAATACAGTGACTGACTCTTTGTAAGTACTCTTTGAGTATTGAGTAATTGAATGATTGAATGTTCAAACCATCAGACCAAAACAAGGATTTACTTTAAACTTCTGGGAGACCTGGGTATTGGTGCCTAATTTCTCTGGCACGTAGGTTCCTAACTCCCTAATCCCTAGAGCCACTGTACACAAGGCTTGGTGTTGTGAGTTGTTGCTCTATATGTGAAGAGACAATGATAGGCTCCAAGACTTACAATCTGTGTTTCTTCCATTCTAGTGGTGAGTGAAAGGGACCCAGCAAAACTTTCTCTCCAGAGTCTAGGTTTTTGGGCAGAAGAAGTACCTTAAAGATTTAGATTAATTTGCTTTCTTTCACAATCCCTTGAGCAGTCAACAGAAACCATCAACTTGGCTTATTTTTACTATCTTAGAAAGTACAAGTATCCTCCTTTCGTAATGTCTGAAGATTACTTTGAGAATGAGCAGAAAATAAATATTTCCCTCTTCTGATCCCCTCCTTCCCTCCTTTGAGGGGTGGTAGTTCTGGTTTTTAACACTCTGCTAAAATCCTGGGGTACACACTGAAGTATGGACAGTCATTGAGAGAAGGGAATATAGATGGGAGCATAGGGCCTTTAAAAGATTTGTGCCGAGTGAATAATCCCGTGTCTGTAAGCCTAGTAAAAGACCAATTGACTTACTTTACATATCATACAAAATAATGGCTTTCATAAATGTGAATGTTCCTCAAAGAATACCAGTTTGTTTTAGATTCATGAGCTAAGCCATTTTTCAAGTTGGCTGCATTCTGAATTTTATCATAGTCAAGTTCTCTTCTTACCTTGGAACAAATAGGGCAGATTCAGGATACAGAGTTTTTTGAAACAGATATTTTTGCAAAGCAGTCCATTTAGGAAATACGTCCATAGAGAGTACAAATTGACTCCACTCCTGCCCTCAAGAAGTTGACAATCTAGTGATTGAGTCAGATATATAAATAGGTGACTATAAGATGAACAGTACAATTTGTGATCAAGTAGAAATATGGTTAAAGTACTTTGGAATGTAGGTGTAGGTATCAAGCCAAGGAAAGGAATAGAAAAATTATAGAATACCTTCATGGAATAAGGTGTCCTTAAGCCGTATATGCAAAGAAACATTGGATTTTGAAAGGACTTTATGGAGAAAAGTTGTATTTGAGGCACAGGGAGTACTGAGTGGCAGACAGGGGCCTACGCTAGAGCAGTGGCTGTGGAAAGAAAAAGAAGCCACTAGTGGAAGAGCCGGCAGAGCTGGAGGATCTAATGGTTGCTGGGCTGCAGAGGGTGAGGAGAGGGAGGAGGCAGAGATAACATCCAGGTGCCCCGGATGCTGAAGTTGGTCAGGATTTCTGAAGGAAGAGCTATTGTTTAAGAAAACAGCCCAGTGACTTCAAAGTCTCATCCAAATTTGAGTCTGTAACTCTCTCCTGTGGTTCTGTGTACACTCCTTCTGGTACCTCTTAGTATGCTCAGAATGCAAATACATTCACTACCTGTCAAGCAGGCACCTAGCTTTGTTCCTTCATGCAGGAATTTCAGTCTTTCTTCTTTTATTTGCTGTCCTAATAATAATAAAGCACCCAGACTTGGACTGAATTGATATTGCAAATGCTCAGAGTCAACGTTCCCAAACCTAAGGAGGTTATTGCCCCTACCCTCAGGTAATGTTGGCTGTGAACACGATGTTCTTGGAGCTGTTTTTCAAATAGTTCTGTTCTGTTTTCAAATATTTCTCCATTTAAGCAACATGGGTATTTAATGGTGAAAGGACATCTGTTCTGCTGGCCTGGCACTTGGCTTCTGAGATAGAAGTGCTTTTAGGTCTTAGTCTACCTTCTCATGGTAGAAAAATTAATTTTGACTCCAAGCAAATGAAGCTATCTGATGTTCCTGTTACAAGTGATGTGAGTGCCCTGGATTATAATACATCTTGTTGGTAGGTTTTTGGGTGTGTTTTTGTGTCCCCAGCACAGAAGGGCATCCTCGTGGTAGTAAGTCAACACTCAAGAGCCTGAAAGTTTTTTGCACATTGCATTTCAAGTCCTGAGTTTTAGAGTTTTTTTCCCACAGAGATTCACATGCAGACATAAAGCTGGCCCATGGCTGGGCTCCAGCCCATGCAGAGTTACTTGCCAATTCCAGAGAAGCAGAGAATGAAGACACTCATGCCCCGTCATCCATCATTTTTTTTTTCCTATGAACCTTACAGCTGGATATTGAGAAATCTGGATTTGATCTTTCTTTCTTTCTTTTTTTTTCATTTCAAGTCAGCTGAATAGCCTGTACACATGGATATAAAGAAATATAACCAGGAAGTGTTTGTGGTATTGAATCAGAACTTGAGACATTTGAAGTTAACCATTTCAGTAGTGTTTTTTACTTCTTTTCGATTTTCAAAATCGGATTTTGAATGTTGTTTTGCAGGTTGTGTTCCTGACTGGCTTTGGCTATGTATATGTGGACATTGGCCATCACTGTGGCACAGTCTTCATCACTGTGGCCCCAGAAGGAAAAGCAGGACCCCTTTTAACCAATACCAACAGGTGGGTTTAATTATTATCCCAGTAGCAGTATAGTAAGCTTTCTCATTATAAAGTTGTAAACCTACTATTTACCATTCTTTGTCATCCCTACGTATCCATTAAAGCTTTGGGTTAACTATCGTGTAATCTATCAGGATATGGTTATTCACATTAAATCATACCTATAATATTTAGCAATATATCATCTTCCGTGGGTACCTCTTCCAGTTCTTCTGTGGTAAGTTTAACAAACTGATTTACGAACTAAGACATGCATCTTAGAATTATACATTATCATTAGCATGAAATGCAAATTAATACTTCTGTATCCACATGACAACCTAGTAATTAGTAATTAGACTTAAAAATTAGAGCTACATCAACAATAAATTCACTTATTAGAGCCACATTTTTCCCCCTTCAACCTGACTGTTGCCATCAGGTTTTACAAACATGAACCAAAGAGTTAATATCCTTAATTCAAAAGAACTCGTATAATTCAGTAGGAATAATATGAAGATAACCCTTCCTTCCAAAAATAAACTAAGGGCAAAAGACATCAACAGAAAATTCTAGGAAGAGGAAATACAAGTAATCAAGAAAATGCAAATTTAAATAAGATATTGCTTATCAAATTAACAGTAATGTTCCATCATATACATCATATACAGCAAAAATGCATATGATAAATCTAAAATAAAGCAAACAATATAAAGTGGAATATGTAAATATGATCCTAGTTATGTGTCATATATACATACACACCCACATAAATACATATATGCATGCACATTCTCACACACATACACAGAAAACTTTCCTAGAAATAAGACTAAAAAGAAAAGAAAGAAACAAAATTGTTAATAGATGTGGGTAGAGAGCTAAAAAAAGGGCTATCTAAGCCCTTTTTTAAAAAAAGTTCCTTGCTTCTCATATATGGTTAGGAACTCATTAATCTGGACCATGCCAAATTATTATTAATTTGAATTTATAACGTTTCAAACAAGGTTGAGTAGAATGTTTTCTTTGCCCAGAAGTGTTTGTAAAACACTAATAGTATAACAAAATTGGAGACTAAATTTAAATTGCATAAGACAAAATTTCAAGCCTACACAACCATTTTAGAAACATTTTATCGAGGGCATTAGTAGGGTATCGTTGATGACAACAGCAACAGACTGCACACTGAGCAGTAGAAGTGGAGAAGGCTCATTAGTTCCTTGTACTTCCTCAATTCGTTTATTCAACACATGCTTTTCAAGTGTTTCCTGGATGCCAGGTACTGTTCTGGGGATAATACATCAGTGAATAAAAAGACCAAAATCCATGCTCACATTCTCCTAAGTGTGGAATGGGAGGACAGAGAACAAAAATAATAAAAAAAGGAAATTTTATGGTGCATCATAAATCTAAATGTATTTTATCATAATAAAATATAAAAGAGGTTGGTATTCTGCAAATAGAAAAATAGATCCCAGTAAGAAGGATCAGGAGTGCCAGGGCATAGGGACAGAGAGAGCACAGTTTTAAAAAGACAGGTATAGGTAAGCCTCACCAAGAAATTGACATTTGAGCACAGACTTGAAAGCAGCAGAGGGTTAATAATCTGGAGGAAGAGCTTTGCAGACAGAGGGCACAGCCACTTCAAAGGTATGAAGCAGTGTGCCTGGCATATTGGAGGAGCAGGGAAAAGGCAGCTGTGGGCAAAATGAGGTAAGTGAAAGTGGAAGCAGTAGTACCTGAGGTCAAAAGGGAAGGCTGGAAGGAGGGGACACATTGTGTAGAGCTTAGTTTTCATTCTGAGTGAAATGAGGAAGTCATTGGAGCATTTTAAGTGGAGAAGTTACATGACCTGACCTGAATTTTGAGAAGATTGTTGGCTGCTTTGCTGAAGTAGATTGTAAAGAAGCAAGGTAGAAGTAAGGAGACTAGTTAGGAGATTATTACAGTTATTCTCACTAGAGATGCTGATGGCTTAGATTATAGTGATATCAGTGGAAGTGGTAAGAAATGGTCAGATCCTGGATAGCCTTTTCAGGAAAAGCCAATGAGACTTCCCTGACACATTGGATAAGGGGTGAAAATAGAGGCATCCAGGAAGACTCCAAAATTTTTGGTCTAAGCAACTGGTAGGATGTGGTTGCCCTTAACAGAGATGGGAAAGGCCATATGTAGGTTTAGGGGTAAGATCAAGAGTTTGATTACAGACCTGGCAAGTTGAAATGTCTTTTAGACATACAAGTGACCATGTGGATTGGCAGTTAGAGGTGTAAGATTGGAGTTCAGGGGGAGTTCCAGGTTAATTATGTGACTGTGGAAGGTATATTTATGGTACATTATGGTACTATGTCATATGCCGTCAGCATATAGATGGTATGTCAAGCCATGAGACTGGATGAGATCTCCAAGGAGAGTGAGTGGAGATGGGAAGAGAAGAGGACCAAGGGCACCTTAACTTTAAGAGATCTGGGAGAAGAGGGGGGAGACTCCTGAGTGACTGAGGATGAGTGACCAGAGGTAGAAGAGCTGAGAGAGTGTGCAAAGAAAGTGTTTCCAGGAGGAGGGAGTTATCGACAGTGTCAAAATGCCATTGTAGATCAGGTGAGCCACAAACTGAAAATCCACCATTGGATTTAGCCACATGGAAGTCACTGGTGGCTTTGACAAGAGTTGCTTTGGTAAACTGGTGGGGGGCAGAAGCCTGCTTGGAGCAAGGTTAAGAGAGAATGAAAGGAGAGGAATAGGAGGCAAAGTGTATAGAAAATGCTTTGGAGTTTTTATGTAAAGGGGATCAGAAAAATGAATGGTAGCGAGAGGACAAAGTAGAGTTACAAGGGGGTTTTTTTTAAGTAGGAGCAATAACAGCATGTTTATAAGCTGCTAGTAATGACTAAAACAATGATGATGTAGAAGAGAGGTGAATTGCTGGAGTGATGACCTTGAGGAGGTGAGAGCAGAGTGATGCAGTGCACAATAGAGGGGTTCACAGGCAGTTGAGCCCTAGAAATGTTGGGAGAGCAGAGCACAGGGGCGGAGATGCTGGTAAGTGGGCCATTGTGGTGGGAGTTCCTGCTGATTTTCTTCTGCTAGCTTTACTTTTTCCATTTAAGGAGGCTTGGTTATTTTATTATGTCTTTCTGCTCTGTGATGATCATGATAGAGAATTAGTGCACAAAAAACTTGGGGGATTTTGCAGTAAAAATCTAGTGTTGGTAAGGGAAACACATAAACGTGGCAAGAACTTGTAATGGTCCCAGTGGGAACATTTCCCAATACTGTTGGAGTGTGACTGGCTCTGTCCATACACGATGTACTGAAAGTTGAGTTCTTATTTGTTTCCTTGAGAATCTGAAGGGACATCAGGAGTTGCTTAGTAAGGCACTGTCATCAAAAAAAAAAGGAAAGAAAGAAAAGCAGGGGGAGACTAATGGTCTTTTCTCTTTCTCCTCTAGAACTCTGGAGAAGACTGTGACGTTTAAAATGTTCATCACTCAGTTGAGCCTGGCAGTGTTTGATGACCTCACCCACCACAAAGCATCATCTGAACTTCTGAGACTCACACTGGATAATGTTTTTCTCCAAATGGCCCCAGTGGCTGGTCACCTCCTTGGGGAAGAGACAGCTGCAGCCCTCTTTCAGCTTTACTGTGTGGAGGTCTACTGTGGGGACCTCCAGTTGGATAACCAGCTATATAACAGGTCCAATTTCCACTTTGCTGTCTTGGTCTGCCAGGGAGAAAAAACAGAACCTACCCAGTGTTCCAAAATGCAGAGTCTCCTTATATCTAGCAAAGATTTGGAAGAATACAAGGAAAACTGTTTTATCAAACTTCGCCTCACCTTAACTGAGAGCAGGAGCTTATTTGATATTAACGAGTTCAGTTTTGAATTGAAACCTGCCCGGTTATACGTGGAAGATACGTTTGTGTACTACATCAAAACTTTGTTTGAGACTTACCTTCCTAACAGCAACCCGGCTGGTCACCCCACAGTGCTCTCAGGTGGCAAACAGGTGTTGCCCATGCAGGTCAGACAGCACGCGATGGCCTTGGTGAATCCTGTGAAGTTACGGAAGCTGGTCATACAGCCGGTGAATCTCCTCGTGAGCATCCATGCTTCCCTCAAGCTGTACATAGCCTCCGACCACACTCCGCTGTCCTTCTCGGTGTTTGAAAGAGGCCCCATCTTCACCACGGCCAGGCAGCTCGTCCATGCCCTGGCGATGCACTATGCTGCTGGGGCTCTTTTCAGAGCAGGTGAGGACACAAGCTAAGGGTCTGTGATGAGCTAGGGCCTGGGCAAAAAGGAAATACTTCGGGGTAGTACCTTATTGACTTCAATTCATAGGGAAGTAATATGGTGAGAGGTGAAGAACATGGGCTTTGTCATTAGACAGCAATGGATTTAAATCTAGGCTCTGCCACTGCTGACTATAAGGCTGACAGCATTACCGAACCTCCCCACGTCTCAGTGTCCTTATCTATAAAATGGGTTTTAATTTGGAGAAGGCGAAATGAAAGTATGTAAAGTACCCTGCATTCTACTTGGCACTTAATAAATAACCAAGCAATAGTAGCTGTTATATTCACTGTTAGGTAACTTAGAATTTTAATTCCATTTAGCAAACACTTCTTTAGCTCCTTGCAGGTACAAGGCTTTATGTTAGCTCTCTGGTGCAGCCAGGAAAACCAGCCCAGGCCCTGAGCCCCTGAGCCTAAAAGAAATCCAGTCCTAGGTTGTTAGCTTTCTTCATTACAGGCCATGAATAGCTGTAGGTGAGAAATTCAGAGGATTTGTGTGCTCATAAGATGCATAAAGAGCCTTCTACCTACCCAGTGCGGCCCTGCCTGTCTAGACAGATTGCTGAGAGAAGGCTGTCGGTGTCTCAGCCTCTCCACAGACCTGAGCTGGAAAAGTCTGCAGGGGGTGGTTTGAATATGTGTGCAAAATGTATGAGGAGTCCTGTGCGCTAAAGATTGAGTGTTGAGGACCAAGTTGTCTCAGAATACTCTAAGGTAAGGCTTCAAAAAACGCATTCCTGACCTGAATTCACTCTAAAGCAGTTTCAATTTGATAAAGCGGCTCCTCATGTTCCCATGAATTCAAGTAAGGAACAGCAGCCAGAGTTGGTCTTGTGGGCCCTTTCTGGTAAAAAACAAGTCTTACTTTCTGAAAGTAAAAGGAGAGAGCCTTTGTAACATTGTATTTGGTGAATGAATTCCCATATATGATTAACATTGTAGCAGCAAATGACCCATGTTGTTGCCATATGGGTAAGATTACATTTTCTCTGTAATGTAATTCATAGAGTTAATAGGGCTACCCGAACTCTTAACTGAATATGACAAGATTCAGAGAGCACCCTGCCGGAACTGTTTTGATAGCTTGCACAACAATAAAGAAAATATTTCCCTCTTGCTAAGAAATCATTTAAAAATAAGCAGTTAACATTTCACATTTAATAGATGGGTATATTTATAAACAACTCCAGAAACTTGCCCTTTCAGGCAGTTTTTGCTTTTAACACGAGAAGCAGGCATGCAGGTTACTGAGCTCTGATCTGGGGCCTGGGGGGAAGAGGCCCCACCCAGCACCGCACAGCGCTGAGGTGTGGGAGCACCCACTGTGTAATGAGCTGGCAGAGAAGCTCCAACTGTGGCACCAGCGAACCACGTCCCTGCAGCCTGTGTGCTAAAAACGATCTTTCTTTGTTTTGTTTTATGTTTTTAATGAGCTTTCACAAGAACATTCTGTTTGGATTTTTTGTAATCCACCTAAAAATCCTCTAAGCTGTTGTCCCAACCTTATTATATGCTGAGACAAGAAATTCTAATTTAGAGGGCCAAGTTTTTAGAACCTGTTGGGAATTCTGTCGCTAAATATCTGTGGACAGTCTGAAGGTTATCTGGAGGAAAGTGGTGATTGAAAGAGTTGGAAATGGGAAGATGGTAGGAGGTTACCGGCCCACGGTGTACTAGTACTCTTGTGGAGAAAGAGAGAGGGCTGGCCTGGGGGTGATCAAGTTGCATCTGCATCTCCTGTGGGTCAGGATGAACCCACTGGACTTGGTTATAAGGTTCCTGACTGGGAGGCTCAAAATACCCTGACATCATTTCTAGGGAAGTTTGTGGAGTCACCTTGAAGAGTTTTTAAAAACAAAGAAATAGTAAAGTAATTAGAAATGAGGAACTAACCCTATTTGAACAAAAGAATGTGGGCTTTATAATTTCCTGGGGTCTCTCTCTATCCACAAGTCTCAGTTTGATGGGAAGTCAGACAAACACCCCTTTTCAACAAAATTTCCAAAGAAGCAAGCAAAAGATATATTTGCTTTTGGAGGAAAATAATTTAAAAAGGAGTGCCCTCAGTTACTTTGGGCCCATTTCTGGCCAGCTCAGATGCCACTGAGAAGTCGCTCTAGTCCACGCATAGGCCTCCCATCAGCCAGTGGCCCCAAGCTGAGAGATCCTGAGCCCACCCTCACGTGGCAGGGGCGAGCTGCATCACCGGGCGGGGTGGTTTCTGCTCGTTCTGCCTGAATGGGCGCATTGTAGAGCGGTCTTTGCCTGGCAGTAGCTACTCTCCTCTCTTTATCTCTATATGGAATCTTTGGAATGAAGGGGAATTAAGATGTTTCTGGACCAAACTTCTGCCTCCAAGCAAACCTTACAACTATTTTAAGCTAAATAGAATCTGCTATTTCTTTACCTCCAGAGTGGGTCCTCCAAGGAAGAATATTCCACAACCTTCCAGGGTACATTGCCTACTTGCTGCAGCCTGGACTCACAGAAAACATGACGGGGGTAGGGGGGTGGCTTTGGAATCAAGTCAGCTGGGTTGGAAACCCAGCCCACATGTCTTGACCAGCAGGGAGATGATCTCCTCCTTCCTGCCTGCCTGCGAGACGGTGGAGACAGCGTTAACACCATGTCAGGAGCATGCCCGGTACCGTCGCTGACCCCAGGGAGGGGCTCACTCATTAGCTAACCTGAAATTATTTGAAGGGAGGTAATAGTACTTCCCTTGCACAGTTCTTGTGACAATTAAATAAGTTAAATGCCAGGCACCCATAGGCCCTCCCATTTATAATCTTCACCTTCTGGAAGTTATTCCCTCTTTTATTCTAAACCCTAGTGTTATCATCCTGATGATGATATCATCCTATCAGAGAAGGGAGGTGAGCTCAAAATTTAAGAATGTCACTCTTTACAAGGGCTGGGCCTGAGAACCTTCAGGGTGCTGGCATAGCTCTTGCACCCAGGCCTTCCCAGTCCCCTGGGATCAGTGACTTGACTGGGGATCTCTGTCACAGGCCTGTACTCCAAGAACCTGCTGGTGAAGGAGAGTTGGCTCCCACATGGGTCCTGTCCCCACGGCCTCGCCATTAGAGTGCTCTCAGCCCCAGGCTGGAGAGGTCAGTGGGTTCCGGGAGGAAGTCGCCTGTTGGCAGTCCTCCTCTCCTTAGCCTTTGGCCCTGGCCTGCACCTCCAGGCATCTGGGCCAAGAGCCCCAAGCCCCACCCTGGGGAGGAAGGCGAAGGGAAGCCACTGCTGGAATCCACACCACAGCCACGTTCCCACGAGGCAGTACACATGGCAACCAGGCCACTGAGCAGGCCAGCTCCTGGCAAACTCCAGCTACAATAGGAAACCAGATCCAAGCTCCCCTCCTGGGACCTTCTCAGGGAACACTGTCCTCTCACCAGCCTAATCAGTGTGTCCATGTCCCGATGTTTACACAACTGAAACTGGGGTTGAGGGGGAGATGTTTGTCTGGCTCCAGCTTTGCTCCAAAGAGAAGCACTTAGCTTGGTAGGATTGGGAAAGATTAAAAATAACTCCTCCATCCTTGTCAGAACTTTGCATCCTCTTTGCAACACCCCATTTAGCATCTGCCCTCCTCCCCTGACCAAGCATCTCCTCCTCATCCTGGTGCCCCCACTGCCCCAAGGAAGTTTTGAGGGTAACTTCCCAGCCTAGAAACACCTGCAGCCTAAGGGACCACCTTTCCTTGGGCAGATGGGAATGTGCATCCCCCGGTACACGGGTCCCTTTTAGCAGGAATATGGGAAGCAGGCAGGAAAATCATATTAAAGCTATTTGTGAAGCTGCCAAAAGGATCACTTTGATTTACAAAGTATGAAAGTTTGCCGTTTATGAATTCACAGTGAATGAGTTATTTCCCATATTTTGCTCCAAAGAAGCTTATTACGTTCTCAATTCTAGTGTGAAAAATGAATTGCAGGGAAAATGGGCCACTTTTCCCAAATGTTGAAAGTGCTGTATTCAAGGGATGAGGAAGCCTTTCCCTTTGGTCCGTTACAGGCTGGGTGGTTGGATCTCTGGAAATCCTTGGCAGCCCGGCAAGTCTGGTGCGAAGCATCGGGAATGGGATCGCTGACTTCTTCAGGCTTCCGTATGAGGGGCTGACGCGAGGCCCGGGAGCCTTTGTGAGTGGCGTTTCCAGAGGGACAACATCATTTGTAAAGCACATTTCCAAAGGTAGCTATTTTGTTTCCTTGTAATGATGCCTTATTTTCGTTTCTTCCCTGTCTTATTTTTTATTTTTAAAGAATGTGTTAAAGTTTTAAATGCATTAAGTTTGCCTTGAGCTTTGTTTGGCTAAATTGCAGTGAAATGTTGGATTTATAACAAAGCTCATATATAATGTCTTATGTTTTAAACAGATCACTCCAGGCTGTAGTGTGTGAAAATGTTTCAGAAACTTCAGAACTTTAAACCTCCCACGGGGAAAACAAGGATTGGCTCAACTGTTAGTCCATGTGATAAATACAGAAATATTAAAGGTGTTCAGGACTTCTGCTAAACATCAGAAACCCTACACTGTGTTGCCTCATCATATATTTTTTTAATGTAGATACAGTTGTCATAACTTTTGTAAGGATATGGATACATTTTGACATGGAAGCCGAGTTGGAGGTGAAACAGCCAACTTTTCTGTTGCACGCCACGTAAACAGTGCCATCTTGTGGCCCAGCTAGGTCATCAGGCACAGAAGCCAAACTGCTGCCCGCAAGAAGGAGAATGTTTTCATTTTTATCCGTGTGTTTGCTTGACGATATTTTGGTCAGGTTGGCAGTGACTCGAGAACTAACAAGGGCCATCTGAGTCCCTTTTTCTTCTCAGCAGGAGGCAGGGAAAACAGGGCAAAGGGCTTCTCCCCCATAAAAAGCTTTTTACTGTCAACAGTGCTGCAACTCTGTGATGAGTGGGCAGGTTATAGAAGTCTCTAGAAGGCTCAAAAGAAGACTTGAGCTTGAAATATGAGACCATGATCCAGAGATGGGGCCTGGCAAGAGAACAGCAAGAGCAATAAACCAAATTCTATGGACAGTGACAGGACCTCTCCCCCGAGCCCCAGTCGTCCAGGAGGCCTGTGAGCTGAGCTGCAGGAACTCAGATGAGTCACTGGTGGATTTCTCACTCTTGACACTTGAATCTTTGTGGTTCTGTTGTTTTTATTTTAAAATAATACACCCAACACCTGCTAACTTGAACTCCAGTGGTAATTGTAGCATACTGACTGACTGAATGTTTTTTACACTTGTTCTCTCCTTCTCTTAAAAAATCTCTTTGGTTGGTGTGTGTGTGTGTGTGCGCATGATTTTTTTTTTTCTTTTTAGATTACTGATAAAGATACAGCTGCAAAAATGACATCTTCTGTTTCTTCTTGGAGCTAGACCTCCAGCAACAGAGGAGCTAATTCCTTAGCTTCAGGATGTGTGCATCGCCGCTGTCCAGTTTGGCTTCGTGGAGACCAATGCAGACTTGCTAGAGGAGATTAGGACTGTCTTGAGCAAGATTCTGAAATAGCCTTTCTTAGGAAACCCAGACAGACTCATGGCTTTCTCATGATTTATTCCCTTTATCATCCTCACTTTTTTCAGTTAACATCCTGAACATTGAAATTGCACGTGATCGCTGTGGCACAATAATTATTTTCTCGGAATGTCAAATGATAAAGTTTAGTGTCTCCCTTTACTATGACTGGAGTGATAAGGAGGGAGTAAACTTTATTCCTAAAGTGGAAACATTTCTTTACAATCTGTCAAAAATTCAGCAACATAACCTTAACCTTTAAAATCAGAGCAGGAAAATTTTAACCTTCAAAACTGGGCCTTAATGAGGATTTCAAAACTAACTGTTTTAGCCAAGCCTTGACAATCAAATGGTAGTGAATGACAGTTTCTTGTGAAACTCTAAGCATTTTTCTGGTGACAGAGATTCTTATCATACCCTTTTTGAGGAGTGCCATCACCCTCATGAGCAAATGCTAATCTTCACCTCATTTTCTTAAGGCTGTTGCTTCAAACTTTCCAAGAGGAAGCCACCATCACTCACCACCTAGGCATGTCCAGAAGGCACAGATGGGCTTCCACTACCCTTTTCCCCTCCCCCACCGCCCCCCAGGGTTCACTCCCCTGGGGTCCACCATGTATGTGACCAGGAGGCCAACCCACCCACATGTTCTTGTGCCCTCAGGTACCCTCACCTCCATCACCAACTTGGCCACAAGCCTGGCCCGGAACATGGACCGGCTCTCCCTGGATGAGGAGCACTACAACCGGCAGGAGGAGTGGCGGCGGCAGCTCCCAGAGAGCCTGGGCGAGGGGCTCCGACAGGGCCTGTCCCGGCTGGGCATCAGCCTGCTTGGTAAGGGGCTGCCGGGGACCTGTGCACTCACATCTGTCTGCACTCTGGCTCTGCAGGCAGGCCCAGGTGTGCAGGCTCCCAGGACTGGGGGTGGTTGTGAAGTTTACATCCTTTCTGCAGACAAAGGTGAGGCTCAGAGAGGATAAGGCACTCGCTCTAGTTCCTGAATCCATAAGGCCCTGGAACAGGAGCCCCCTTCTAGAGCCACTGTGCAGCTATGACAGGGGCCATCCCAGGACCAGCCTGGTAGGAGGCTCCCCTGCACAAATGCCTGTGTTCTGCCTTTCCATTGCTTCTAGTACAAACGTATCTCTGGCCTCAGCATGGCTCTCTAAAAAAGCATCATTCCATAGGCAGACCCCTGAGTGTGGGGGTGTCAACATGAGGCAGCGACATACAGCTGTTTGCTCATGAAAGTGAGCAACAGGCAAACCTGCAGCACTTGCCCTTCACTCACAGACGCTGCGGCCGCTTGCTTTTGTTTGAGAAGCACTTGAGCAATGTGCAAATGTCACGTAAACTTCAGTGAGGAGCCCACTTTTTCCTTTTATTTTTTTAAGAGTGCTGGATCAGCATGACTCAGAGTAATTATCGTTTGTCGTGCAGCCAGGTAGTATAGTTAGAGATGAAGATTGCTGTGGATATTTACAAATATTACAAATGTTTAAAAAATAGATTGCTCTGGAAAAGTCTATAAAAAGGAAGCTTCAGAGCTGAAATTTTGCAGAGCAGGATTTTCAAGGGTATCTTTTGTTTATTTGTTTGCAAAGGAATTTAAAACTGTATTGCTTGGCAGCATGCCTGCCGAGCATCTGAAGGAGTATGCATCTCTTAGAGATCAAAGTGCCCCAAAGCAGGGAGAGTAGAGGTCAGAAAAGATGAGCTTGAAAGGATTTGTCCTCTTTCGAGTCTGCAGTTCTATACATAACCCTCAACTCGCAGAGCAGGCAGCTGAGGCTCAGAGAGGAAGTAGTAAGATGTTACAAGTTCACGTTAAGTTACTAGAAATTGTTTGTCATAACATTCGGTGGTGTGGGGCACTGTCATTTGATAATGCATGGAAATTGGGAACCTAATGACCTGGGATGGAACTGCTGGATAAAGGAAAAACCCCCAAAGCAATGGTCACTGCTCTGGGGAAGGTCATGTAGGGGGGCCGCATTCCTCAGGAGCCAGCAGACCCCAGGCTAGGGTGTCCAGGTCCTTTCTTTGTGACATCAGGCGAGTCCTTATCTTCTCTGAACCTGGGTTTCTGTTTTGTAAATTAGAGCTGGTGATACCATTATTGGAAGTAATGATGGTCGGTAGTGTGCTGCACATAGCGTCCATGTTTAGTAAACAGCACCTCTCATTATTATATTATGATAGCAAAGGAACTATAAGAGTTGCCTGATTTCAGAGTGTCCCAGCAAAGAGTGACATGTGAGCAATGGCAGGAGCATTTTTCCTTTAGTTTTAGTCCAATGGGTTAAGTTGCTCTAACCACCGGAAGTGACAATGAGGTTATCGTGGAGGCCTCAGGTCATTGTTTAGGGACTGTGGAACCTCTTTTTGCTACGAATTATGGGCTTACATGCCCTCCACTCTGGGCAGGAGAGCTTCCTTCCCTCCATGCAAGTTCTTCTTGGAGCTTACAGTTGCTCAGCAGAGGAGACCTGAGCTGGCTTGCATGTGGCTGTTTCCATCCTGACTAACCCATTCTCTTCCCACCCAGAAAAGCCCACACCCACTACCCAGTTTCCACTGTATCAAATTGTGCCTGATGGTAGAAATCAGTTGTGTGAGGAGCCATGATTCTGCCTTTGTGATGTTGCCGTTTTGAGCATGACTCCTGTTGTTAGCCAGGGTAAAAAGTCATAAAGCTTCGATCTTTGCTATAGTCATTGTGTCTTGTACATCCTCATCTATGCAAGGGAATCATTTAGTCTGTCTACTGCAGTGGGCTCAGCGAGTCTTTCTGCATCTCTGGTAATTTCCAAAAACCTGGGAGTTCTGGGGTAATGTAAATCCCTCCTCAGTGTGTCCTGACTGCACCTGCAAACGCTGGCCTGACTCTGGGCCCCCAGGAACTCCATCCCAGCAGCACACCTGAGCCGCATGTCCACTTCTGTGATCCTTAGACTCAGGTTGGCCTAAACCAGCTTCCTTTTCTCTGAGAGTTCGAGAACTGTCTCTATCCCACGTAATCTCTGGGTCATCTCAAATGTCTGGTCCTAGAACTACCTGATCTGTGTCAGGAAGAAGAGAAGGAAGAGTAGGACCAACCCAGTCCTCTCATCTGGGAAAGTGTAGATTCATCATCATTCGATCCATCCCCCAGAAATGGTGTTTAAAAGGCTAAATGCACTTAAGTGCCTAATTGAAGTTAGAGCTATTATCATACAACAGTTTGAAACCCACGCTTAGTGAAATCAAAATGCTAGCTCCTCAGTTTCTTCCTTTACAAGAAAGAAACATTAACAACTCAGTTAGTAAAAATACATTTAAAGAACATTTCAGGTTGACAAAGCATTTTCACATATGTCATCTTATTTGGCCTTCAAACCCTAGGCATGGATGAGGTTAAGTGACGCCCTGGTCAGACCTCCAGCCAGGACAAGATGCTGGGCCTCTCCACACTCCAAGCCTGGAAACAATCAGGATGTAGGGAGACAGAACAATTGAAAGTTCCAGAGTAGGAAAAATACATTTCCCACAATGTTTATGGGTTTGGGGGCCTTCTTGCCTCTCATGGGGACGTTGTGGAGCGTTATGAGGCACTCGAAAATCAAAGGAAGTCTTGAGCTGCCATGCCCAGCCACATTGGCCCAGGTCAGCAAGGAGAAGTGCCGGCTGGCAGACGGATGCCGCAGAGGCTCTTGGATGAGCTCCACAACAGTTTTTGGAAAGCAGTAGATTTTGGAAAAATTCTGCTTAGCCTGCAGAATTGGCATCAGCCTTGCCCACATTTACCAGATCCGTTCCCCAAACACCCCCACTTTCTACTACACCCTGGGTCTGCTGAGAGAGGATATGAGCTCCATGTCATGGCTATAGTCCACGTTCCCTCCCAGAAGTGACTTCTCTCTCGTGAATACCAAAGGCAGGACGTCAGAACTTGCTTCTCTGACCCACGCTTCTTTTGGGCTGCTGCCTGACTTATGAAGCATTGCTAGATTTCCCAGCAGCCACACCCTGTCTTCACGGCCACTCTTGGTATGCCATTGGGAATCCTAACAAAATAGGCCTTGACCAGGTGAATCAGGACAGTTGCCCTCAAGTGAGTAAGTGCAGAGCTATAAGTAGTCCCCTGATACCACTTTCAGCCATTAGCAGAATGGTTTGCAGTTAGTAGGGAATTCAGGAATAACAGAAGTGCTTCCTAATAATTTTTGCTAATCTGTTCTGATCAAAAAAAGCTAGGCTTGAGCTGGAATACCTAATACATTCTGTGGGTCTCATTTGTCTCTGGAATGGTGAGCTGTGAGTGGTGTCCCAGCTTAGGCCTGCGCCTCTGCTATTGTGATAAAAAAAAAGGTGCCCAAAATAAAAAATCACACCATGTGGTAAGGGCAGCACCAAAAGAGCCACCCAGGCAGGAGCTTTCACAGATCAGTGTCCCAGTGTTTTTGCCTGAGGCTGGGGAGCAAGTGAGGGAAGAAGTGAGGAAAGGCCCTTTTAGGTCCCTTGCTTCACAAAGAAAGACTTCCTCCTCAACTGAAGGGCACGAAGGGAAACGCCTCCCCGACTTCTCCCTCACCCGGCACACGGAGAGTCCATGGAGACTCCCCGCTGAGGCATGCTTTTCCTTCCTGCCTCACTTCATCACATCACAGCCGTCTCCATGTGGCCGCCCACCCTATGGGCCTGACGCCAACATACAAGTTTTGGGATCGGTTTCCACTACTTAAAGCCTTAGAGCAGAGTTTGAGTATATGACAGTAAATAATTTACCAGTTGAGGGATTTAGCTGGATTATACTGAAGAAGAGAGCCTTCTGAGCCCTAAAGAAGCTGCCTCTCTCGGCACGGCTGCAGACACCATGAAATGGCTGTTAGTCTCTCACAGCCTCTGTTCCCCAGCGCACACCTGGTGACCAGTGAGGTGCCGGTGTGTGTGACGGGCCAGCTTTCCCCCCTCCAGGGTCTGGTGTGGGCGAGGGTGTGTGATCTGACAGCTCCTTCTCTCCCTCTTAGAACCTGACACCTTGTCATGGGCTTCAGGCTTTCCACTTTTCAGGCTGCCCCAATAGTTTATCTATCAAAGCCACAGTAACTGAGCCTTCACTGTGGCCGGTGGCTGGAGAAAGTGGAAGATCAAAGGGGAGCTTCACCGCGATACCTGTTTGCAGTTAGGCAGCCGGAAGTCAGAGTCCTGTGTGGACAGTCACAGCCGTGAAGGCTCCATGTTCCTTGTTCAGGTTAGGCCTGGCCTATTAAAGGGAAATGGTAGACTCTCAAAGACCTAACCACTGCCCCCCCAACTCAATTTTAATAGATTTAATAGAAATCTGTACTTGAGAAAGACATTTCTGCCAGAAATACAGGCAATAACTTAATTTATTGGTGAATTTGTAATTATTTACCCCTGTTTTTCTACTCTTAAGCATGGAGACCTTTCGAAGAAATCAGATAATGAAACCACAAAAGCTTTATTCTTTGGTTTGATGCTATTCACTTTGAATGTCTGCTGTGAAATGATTTGCTGAGAAGACACCAGGGTTCTTGCCTCTCTCAAGCACTGATGGCAGCCACCACCCCAGTGTGGCTGGTTCCCTGTACACTTCTCAGCTCTCTGACTCCCGATCTTATAGATGGGGAGAGCAGAGCTCAGATTCCTCAGGCTGAAAACGCAAGGTGAGCTCCCCAGCCTGAGTGCCAAGACTAGGTGTCCTGGAGGCACTGAAGCAGCACTCCCCAGCCCTTGAGAGCAGGGTGCCAGGGCCGGCTGTGAGCAGCTTCCTCCATCTCCCACATCATTTCTTAGGTTTGGGAAGCGTTGGTCTAGGCTGGGAAACAGACCTGTTGCCTCAGATCATTCTTAATCTGTCAATCCATAAACTTAAATGGCTCTGTCAATCTTAGAGGAATGGAATCCATGAAGAACATTCCCTTTACAATTGACCTCAAGGAACTGGCCTTTTGTTTTACTGGATTTTGTTCAATGGAATATTGCTTGAAATTAGCAGGTCATTAACTGAGGCCTGGAAATCTCCGTTTACCCCAGAGACTTTGAGTTAGTGGCATTTGGAATAATGAGATTTGACATATACTAAAATTTCTACCAGGGGGACTGTGCATTTTCATTAATTCCAGCAGGTCTGAGTTGAAAACAAAGAATTCTATCAAGAATTGTAATGAAATTTTTACCTCTTACTGAGTTAGAGTTACTCCATCATGGGAAAAAAATAGGACTGGTGGGGCCTTTACTAGATCTCATCATTGGCCCCTCAGAGTGAGAGGAGCAAGGAGGATGGACCCACAAAAGAGGCTGAGGGATTCACCCTACACTCAGTATATGACCTGGCTGCCCCTCCAGAACGCCGTTAGAGCAGAGAGTGGTGAGGCAGGGTTTTGTAGCTGTTCTCAAGTGAAGAGTAAGTGGCCAAACTTTAGTTGAAGTGAAAGAGAAGGAAGTTTTTCCAAGACTTGCAAAGGGAAGAGCCTATTTTATAAACAGAATCAGTGAATAGCTTGGTGGTTAAGAGCTAGGCTGTGACTCTGACTCCCAAGACTGAAATCCCGGCTCAAGCATAGGACAGCTGCGTGACCTTGGGAAAAACTCCTTAACTTCTCTGTGCCTCAGTGGCCTTATCTGGGAACTGAGGATAAAAATCATGCCTGACTTTTAGGATTATGAGGATTAATGATCTCATACAAGTAAAGCTCTTAGCACAGTCACCAGTACATAGTAAGCACTCAAAATAAATTAGCTATAATAGAAATAATGACTATATCACCACTTTTTATTAAATAATTATTAATATTAAACTGTTCTTAAATAATTGATCTTATTATTATTAAAAGAGAGAACCCAGAAAGGGGCTACTCCCTTCCAGTATTTTCATCCTCCTGATTCAGTGAAAATTTATTAGGCTGAGCAGGCTCTCTCTCCTCCTAAGGAATTGTTACTCTCTTTCCTAAACTGTGTTGCCTGGTTTGGGGAGAAAGGTGTGTGGATGTCACTTTGGAGTAGTCTGACATGTTTATTACATTCTGAGCTGAACTTTACAGATCCTGACTGTGATGGACCAAACCCAGCCCGAACATTGTGCTTTGATGAAGAAAATAAATGACTGCCTTAAAGAGCCCTCAGTGTACTTAGATAATTGGTAAATACATGTATAGTAAAGAACTTTACAATGAGGCTGGAGTTTCATTTTCAATCCAAATAAAACTGTGTTCCAGATTGAAGATTTTCACTTTCTCAGAATTTTAAGCCTCAGTCCTTACTGGGGTTTTTTGTTTTTCAGGTGCAATTGCTGGTATAGTCGATCAACCAATGCAGAACTTCCAGAAAACATCTGAGGCTCATGCTTCAGCACGACACAAGGCCAAGGGTGTTATCTCAGGCGTGGGGAAAGGAATCATGGGGGTGTTCACAAAGCCCATCGGAGGAGCTGCTGAGTTTGTGTCACAGACTGGCTACGGTGAGTCAGTGAAAATCCTGTCAGGCCAACTCAGACATCACCAGTTAATTTGCATTATTATACCAACGATTCCCAAAGATAGTGTAGCCCTTCACATGGCAAAGGAGTGAAAAATAAAATGGATAAATCTATAAATAGATAAATAGCTATCTTTCTCACCTCCTCCTGCTTATTTACACAAAAAGTAGAATTGTGCTAATAATAAATTATAATAATAAAATTATAGAACCAGGAAATCAATTAGTAATTTCAGTATACGTATGTCACAGAATCTTTTTACAGTACATTTAATAACAATTTAATGAAAGATAACCCATTAGAGGTTGAGGGCAATATGTAGAATATATCGAAGCAGAGAATAGAATTACTACTTTTTCTGGTGAGCAATTTGAAAGGAAAACTAGGTTATAAGGCAGGAAGCTATCTTTAAATGACAGCGTGTATGTATTTGGACAAAATGAGAGAAAGAGAGGAGCATGCATGTGTGTGTGTATGTGGGTGTGCACACACTTGCCCACATAGCTTTGTGTTTGGCGTGGCTTTCTCACCTGCAGACTCCATGCTGCGGATACAGCCAGGCTGAGTCTCCTGGCCAGTGGCAGCAAAGGTGCATGATCTGCAACCGAAAACCCTTTCCCCAAATAGACAGAGTGCCAGGATCGCTCCCCAAGCGTGGGTGTGCACAGGAGTAATGGGTGGGTGTGAAAGGAAGCACCTCTTCCCATGCTTATTTTCTGCATTCTTGGCTGAGCACATTAAGGTGATTTTAAATAAACAGGTAACTGGAATTGTTACCTTATTACCTAAAATCAGTGTCATCATTTTGGTCACAAAGCAGGCTGTCTAGCTAGTACTGCAAACTACAGGAGAGCCCTCCCGTTTGTCAGACATGTGAGCGCTCTGCATCTGCATCTGGCCATAAAGTCTGTGGGGTACATTTCACTGCAGGCATCCAACACCTCAGCAGATCTGACAAGAGGCAGCCAGATCAGGGCATAAAAATAGTGTCTGAAAGGAAGAGAGCGGGAGATGAATGCCCACACTCAGGCAACCATCCGGAGAGGTTATGAGAGACCACACAGACATGAACATGTGTTCCTCTTCGCTTTTCCCCTCGCCTCCTCCCTCCCCATTTCTCTCTCTCTCTCCTTCTGTGAATGACATTTTCACTCAGAGGGAAACTGACTAAAAGAACTGCTATAACTTGTAAGTGGACGAAGTTAAATGCTCCTTTATCAAATGCTTACACATCAATAAAAACAGTATTCCTTTTGCTATTGACTCCAGTGAAGTCAAGTCATACTTCATAAATTCCTTTAGTTTTGGAAATGCCGTTGTCCCTCGCGGTGTGTTTCCCAGGGCTGGGGCACGCTCCCTTGTGTAAGAGCTTCTCAGAACAGAGCTTCACATGGCCTCGTTGGTTTCCATCATTCTTGTAAAACTTTTACTACTACACTGAAGGTTTTACAAACCACTAACTCTTAGTCTAATGACTGTGCTTCATTTATAAACATTTACAAGCCCTCAGAAAGCACACATGCTGTACCATCTTTGGTTCTGGAGAGTCTCTTTGGAGGCCTGCATGGCTGCTGCTTGGTGCCCTCATTTGGTGCTGGCACCAGGGAGAGCATGTAATAAACCAGAGGCCCCAAGAGTGCTCATAAATGTATTTGGATTCATTTTTAACAGCTGGATTAAGTCACTTAAATAATGTATCTAGGCAAAACTTGTGCCTTTGTGTGTTTCTGTGTGTGTTGTATTTTTCATTATTTGACCAGCCACAGCACAGATACAGAAGTATTGTAATATTAAGCAAGGAAGTCAACTAACAATCTTGACTTTTTTGTCACATAAATTATCAATGATGTGTAAACTGTTGCTCAGGACCAATTACTCCCAGGAGCATTATGCTTTCTCTAATTGCCAGTCTATGCTTGAACTGTAGCTCATTCATATTTCAGTTTGTAGCTAAAGTAAGATCACCAGGGTTAAGAGCATTGCAATGTTTAATAATTATCTATATACTTGCTTCCAAAGACATGACATCATTTTGGATCTGTAACAGTTTATGGATGGCTCTAAGCAGATGACATCACTATAGCATGGAACTGTTTTCCAGAAAGCAACTAGTAAAACTCCCTTACTTCTCTTACCACAGGTATTCTACACGGAGCCGGACTTTCTCAGCTTCCTAAACAGCGCTATCAGCCAAGTGATCTACCTGCTGACCAGGCTCTGAATGGCCATGTCAAATATGTCTGGTAAAATTTATCTAGATGCTTGTCAACCGTACATGCACACTGTATGTTAACAGGGCCTGGCTTGCTCTCAAGCTAAGAGGTCATGCTTCCAGGGAAGCCCAAGAGGAGCAGCCATTTTCAGCATCTCAGGCAGCACAAGGGCATCCTAGAGCCAAGGAAAGGCTGCCTGCCATCCCCAGATCTGGGACTGGCAGCAGAACTCCCTTGCCCCATGTGTGCCACTCAGGGAAGGATGCACATTGGCAGACGTTCCCTTGGAATGAGCATTTGATAATTAAAGTGACAATTACATTTCAAGCTAAAATTAATAATCAGATTGGTGAGGGCCCTTTGCCCTTGGGGAGCTTTGTGTAGGATTGCCCCAACCCCTGGTACAAACAGTGAGCACTGATATGTGACTATCTTTTCCAAGCTGGCTCCTGGTCTTACTTTTCTCCTTTGAAACAGGAAAATGCTACAGTCTCTGGGCAGACCAGAAGTCCACATGGCCCTGGATGTGGTTCTGGTGAGGGGCTCAGGCCAGGAGCACGAAGGGTGCTTGCTGCTGACATCGGAAGTGCTCTTCGTGGTGAGTGTCAGCGAGGATACACAGCAGCAGGCCTTTCCCATCACGGAGATCGACTGTGCCCAGGACAGCAAGCAAAACAACCTGCTCATCGTACAGCTCAAGCAGCCAAGAGTGGCATGTGATGTGGAGGTACATTTCAGAAAATGGGGTGACCAAGGCTAGCTGCTGGTAAGGTCAAGATGCAGGCCAACCACTGGTACCAGGCATTTATGAGCCTGCAGCCTCTGGAGTGGCTGCCAGAGACCAGGAGGGCTACCAGAGAAAAGAGTATGGGAGGTGAGAGGGCCATTGCAGAAAGGGGTTGTGAAGTCCTTACATAGGTGTTCATGTGAACCTTCCACAGGAGAGCCCAGCAGTAAGCTAGATGGACCCACAGCCTGGGGCTAAGCAACCGTATGAATTGAACAAGGCTTGGTTATCATGGGCTGCAGTGCTAGAGTGGACAGGACAGGACAGTAGAGCTCCAAAACAAGTAGGTCTGTACAAGAGCCAGGACAAAGGCAGCAATTCCATGCAACTACTCACAAAGCAGGCCCATGGCTACACGAGGCCTGAGAGTGCCCGCAGCAGTCTGGGAGTATAGGAGAGGACCACCATAGAAGTGAGGGGTGTCAAGTGAAACAAGGCACAGGCAGTAGGCTGGACCTTTGAAAGTTCACAAATCAGGAGGTCTAACCCACTGCCTCTGCCATTCCCAGCCCCTGAGACTTCAGGGGTCCAAGTTTTGTGAACAGATCTCTCTCCTACCCACTGCCCTGTATTCTGTGTGGCTCTATGTTCCCTTTCCCATGGACAGGTTCCCATCCCCTAAGTACCAGAGGGTACCTCCTGGGGATGCTGCTTAGGCTCTTGAGACAGCTCCCTGGCCACATGGCTTCTGAGATGTGCCGACTGCTGGCTCCTGGCCACACACAAGTTGATGTAGAACGGATGCTCAGATGGGGCATGCTGTCAGGGGTCAAAGGTGAGCCCTGAAAAGAGTGGCACCGCTTCCTGCACTCTATCCCACGGTAAGCAGGTGTGCCCACTGGAAAATTGCTCTTTGTCCCTGCCTCCCCAGTAACTGCCTCATCAACGGGCAGTTGATCTTCTGAACGGGCAGTGTTGACTTCAGAAACAAACGTCATTTCCCACACGGCAAGATGGATCCCTGGCAAGCTGGAGCCTGCTGGTGCTAACCTCGGGACTGAGTGGCCCCAGGAAAGGACAGCAAACCTGCCTCCAGCAGGTCCTGCCCATTTCTCCTTTATTTCCTTCCTGGTTATGGGAGCCTGCATCTCCCTCACACCACTGTTTGGGTAAAATTATCTGAGAAGATGGAAGGCAGCCAACCACAACAACTCCGAGATTTCCCTAGTTTCTTGGATCATAATCAGTCAGGCTTTAAGCTGGGGCTTGGCACTAGGACTACACTGCCTCTTCAAGTTGATGACTTTCTGGGAATAAACGGAGGTCAGATGTCCAGGCTGCCTTTATTAGATCTGCCAAAATCTTCTGATCCAGTTAACAATAAAGCAGCAGTGATCTGGCTACAAGATTTGGCAAGGGATAGTATCATTATCTTCAAGTCCTTGGTCCTTAGAGAAACTTCCAAGGCCCTGAGGAATATCTGTGACCATTATTCCTTAGCTGCTTGGAAAATACTTGAGATCTTAGTTGAGACTAGAGATTCATCTTTTGCTGTTAAACTGTCTCCACTGTCTTCAATTGCAATCCTTCTCTCTTTGGCTTTTCTGTTTGAGGAGGGTACTGTGGAGAATTATCATAGCTGGAGGGGAACAGACTTCAGTTTCTCTAGGGGTTAAGATGATAGCTGGAGTCACTACCCCTAGAAGTTGGCAAGGCTAACTGAGACCATAGGATCCCTGAGTTAGAGGCAGAAGCACTGATACTCTGGACATCATGCTCAACACTGGTTTTCCGTTGTTTCAGGGATAACAAAGGGTTGGAATTAAGGGATGGTTAAATCAGAGAGGAAAAGATGACTGAGAGCAGGGTAGCTATTAGAGACAGATATTGAACGTTCACAGGAGCACCTGGCACTGGACAGAAAGGGTGGATATCAGTATGCCTTCAGCCTCCAAATTCTTTCTCTACATCTATTCCACTATTCCTCTCCCCTCGACTCCTCATAAGAAACAGCTGCCCACTCAGTCCTGTGTCCAAACCCTAACCTCTGCCACTCACCCCAAAGGATACCCAAGCTGCAGAACAAAATGCATATTTCTTTTGTTTGAGACAGTAAACCATTCCTTAAAAGGGCTGTAATCCAATGTATTTTCAAAATGGGGGGGGGGGGGGGAGGTGTCATGCAAGGACCCTGCTTGACAGTGAATTCCCCTCAATTGCATGCTCATGTCAGTGCATACCGACCTAATCCTCAGACATAAAGCTGGGTTAAGAAGCCTACCTGCTGTCTTTCAGGGAAAACTAAGAACAGTATTTTAAGATTTTTATATAAAATGGCTTTTCTTGTTTTTTGCTTTAGATGCTAGGAAACACGGCTCCTTTGAATTTTGGAAGGAACTAATTTGTAGATGACATCATTCAGTATATTCAAATATGGCAGGATTCAGATATTTTTAAATTAGCGTTTGCTTTTCTTGGTTAAATGTAGCCATTTTTAGGGTAATAATTGCTTAATATGCCTGGCACATTATTGAAATCCCTTATGAGAGGCTCAAAATGAGTCAGAAGGTCAATTTATTCCTTGGCCAGGTTCCTTTCACAACACAGGCTTTCCTGTGCTGCTGTTCAGGAGGAGCAATTAAGATTTTCTGTGTATTCAAAGCTTTCCAGCTGAATCCTGACCCCATCAAATGATATCATCAGAGCTCTGGCTTTTGCCTGGTGGTGCACAGCTTTCATCTGTCAGTGAATACTTTGGGGGCCTTTATTTTCTTTCCCAAGCTTAAAAATATGAGACCCGAACTCGAACAGATGCCCTCATTCCTCTGGCAGGCCCCTTTTCTGTGTCTTTACCATCCCTCTGGCTTTCTGCAGCTTTTAAGGTGCTTTTGGCTGCATTGTTTCTGTGCCCTACAGAAATACATAGAAATTCCTTATATTACTACTCGTTGAAATGTTTATAATTCTTCCGGAGTGGTCTTGCCAACATTTGGTAGGTAAAGACCACTGAAAGGTCAGTGGCTACCTGATTCCCACAGATCCAGTGGCTTACATTAGAAACTTCCCACTCCACTTGATCTACACACTAGATAGCTACAGAATTTCAGGGTGGGAAGAATTTATAGCTCCAACTGCCTTTGATGGGTGCTTTCTCAGAAAATCTCACTTAAGAAGTTAGGTAGTATATCTCAGTTCTCCTGTTTGAGTTCCACTGAAGATGAGCCAGACTTTTATGAACCATAAATGTACTTTGCATCCTCCCTTTTTTTCCATAAAAATTTCCCCTTCCTCTGCCCAGTTTTTTTTATTTATTTCTTCTGGCTTTAAATCCTAGTATTTATAAAAACAGAAAATGTTACAGTTCAAAAGGTTTTTTTTTTTTTTAATGCTCTGTCCAAAGCCACTAGTTTGAAGGAGCTGCTCTTCTCCACTTTTTTCCTATCCAACTGAAGAGGTTCTGTCTGAAGAGGTCTGAGGAAGCAGGAAAGAGAGCTTTTATTTCAGGGTGCTGAGTTTAATGTTGATTAGATTTAGGCAAGGGAAAGACGCTTTTCTCCTTTGTTCCTGGGCTGGTTAGTAAAGAGCAGTGACAGATGTTTTAATAGTTGAGTAAAGTGTTATCAAATCATCAACTTCAAACATGGGAATTTTACACAACAGCAAAAGCTTATTCAGAGGAGGCTGTCCTAACATTCTCATGCAGAGCTTTTGTTATACTGCTGAAGTTGCAGTTATCACTGCCACAGTTCAGAAGAAAATAAAAGCACTGTTTTAGATAAAATGGCTTTATTAGATACCTAAAAGGCATAATGTACAAATGTATCAAGGCAAAAGATAAAGAATAAGTTAGTTTGTTACAGACGTCTCCTTCTCATGGTTTGGCAACTAAACAATCTTTATTTTTGCATACCAGGTGGATGGAGCCCGAGAGAGACTGTCAGAACAACAGTACAACAGACTTGTAGACTACGTCACAAAGACATCATGTCACCTGGCCCCCAGCTGTTCCTCCATGCAGACACCATGTCCTGTGGTGGCTGTGGAACCTCTCCCCTCCACCATGAAAACATACCATTACATGGTTGATCCACATTTTGCTCAAGTCTTCATCAGTAAATTTACCATGGTGAAAAATAAAGCCCTGAGGAAAGGGTTCCCTTGAGTCCCCTCTAAGGTATTGATTCCTGCTTGTGCAATTTATTTTTGAAAGAGAAACCTAACTAGTTCTAACATGTAATATGGACGCAAGGCCAACACTTATCTACAGCTGTAGGTAGAGTAATTTTCTAGCCTCTTCTAAAATTCAGATTCTTCCTTCTCCCTGAAACTAAGGAGATAATTTATAACGGAGTGATTAAAAACTTGTTCCTTTCCCATTTGGGGACAATGGTTAATAGAATCCTATATGTTGTAGTCTTCTCACACATAGAAAATGCATTCCTTTTGGCTCTATATTTGCTAACATTTCAACTACAATTAGGATCCGTTAACTCTCTGCTCTAATGCAAAATGTGGTCAAGACCTTAGAATAGAGAGACAGATTAAAACTTCATTCCCAGATATATCTGTTTTCAGGCTAAGACATCATCTTTCCAGTAATACCCTTGTCTGCAAAGGTTCAGATTCTTTAAATGAAATTAAATGTTTACGATTTTGTTGTTTTTAACCTATTGAATTTGTTACTTTAATGTGATGCTGTTCTTTAAGTGAAAGCTGCTATGTATATTCATAGTTTAAAGTCTGCGTTTTACTGAAAATTTACAGGACATTCTGATGACTGTTCATGTACACGCTGGAAAAATGTTTTTCCAGTTTAGGCTTTATTAGGCAAGCTTGGAGTAAATCTTTTGTGTCTGCTGATGAAAACAAACCCAAAGAGCTCAGGTGAGTTTCTTTAGTTTCATAAACAAAACAAACACTACTAGGAACTCACTTTGACACTCCCTCGTGGAAGGGGTAGAGCAGAATTCATACTGCCCTGGTGCACTGGAGGGGAGTCAAGAACCCCAGCATTGATCTTAAGAGTGAACCCGTCCGAATACTTTTTTTGGCTGAATTGACTTGATAAAGTACAAACATACTCCCAGTGTCTGATATAATTTTGCATTTAAGGATGGGTTTGGCTTAACACCCTGGGTCACCAGATATCATCCTTAATATTCAGTAAATGTCTCCTCATACTCCTATTAAAACACATTTTTACTGATTACATCCAAACTTGGGCCTGCAACCTATAACTAACCTACAATTGTGAGATGCTAAGAAAATTCATTTCACATGCCCACTGATCTTTATGCCTCACATGTCATTGGGTATAAGAAGTCTCTGCATAATTGTTTCTGGAAAGCAAGACTTAATGGACAACTCAGGCTGAATATGAAGAAATGGTTCCTCCATTAGTTTGTTGTGTCATACTCATTTAGGAAAGTGACAGTTTTGTCAACTAACCTCAAGAGTAACTACTTTTAAGAATGTAAATATGTACTAATTCTTCTTTTATGGCAATTTTGCATACTACTTCTAAGAATTATTATTATATAAAACTGCTTAAAATAAAAGAAATTCTTAAATTATCACACATAAACGTGTATTGTCACCAAGGGTTTTTAAATGCAGTTTTTCAGTGATACCTGAGTGTAATACAGCTGACATTATTTACTGGGACTCAAGAATTTTGCACGAGTTAAAAAGGGTAAGAAACAGCTTTTGTTATCCTAATAATAAAGTGACAATCAGTGATTAAATTAGCTGTGCCTAAAATAATTTTTTTTAAAGGAAGATTAGCCCTGAGCTAACATCTGCCACCAATCCCCTCTTTTTGCTGAGGAAGACTGGCCCTGAGCTAACATCCATGCCCATCTTTCTCCACTTTATACGTGGGATGCCTGCCACAGCATGGCTCAATAAGCGGTGCATACATCTGCACCTAGGGTCCAACAGCCAACCCCAGGCCACCTAAGCAGAGCGTGCGAACCTAACTCCTGCACCACAGGGCCAGCCCCTAAAATAAACCATTTTTAAAGCTCTCAGTGGTATCACTTTGATCTCAACAAAAAAAAAGCATAATTAATAAAGGTCCTAAGACCTCCTCTAAAAAAAGTTAGTTAGTTACTATACTCTGTTGGTCATTAGTAGACATTACTTAATTCCAGTTAAGTAACAGTTTTTTCTGGACTAGATAGATACATATTCCGAAATGCAAATGCATATACATACTCTTTAGTAAAGCAATACTGAGTAAAGATCCTTAAATTTCAATTATCTATTATATCTGTCTGGTGGTTGATCGAGCAGAACTACCAAACGGTGATGGTGACGCCCAAGGATTATGTCCTGTGTTGATTATGCTGGTTGAATCTGCAGATGGGGAATGTGTCAATATGGAGGTTTAAGGGACTTGAGCATCCTTGGATTCTTGTATGGGGGGGGGATGTCCTGGAACCAATCCCCTGTGGATACCAAGGGATGACTGCAGTCATGTAGGCTCATGCAGGCCTTAAATCCATGGCCTAGGACTAAGAAACTGCACCTAGTGGTATCTCAGTGAAATGGACAAAACGGCAGAGCAATCAAAAATGTCCCAAAATGATGAAATTTATAATAGTGAAATCAAATTATCTTCATAAGGTTCATGAACACAGTTAAAATCTCTAATCAGTTCTGATGCAAGTGCCTTGAATTATATCAGTAAGAATAACTGAGCAAAGACTTACTGTCCATGTATTTCTTATTTATTTATCAAGAGAAACTATTCCTTAGCCCAAATATTGATGTTTCATAGTTCAGGAACACAGGTCAATGAGTGACAAACTTCCGTGGAACTCAACCCAAAGAAATTCTGTGGAGAAAAACATAGTGGCTAAGTTAATGACAAGCATTAAGTATCTCTTTTAATACCTCACCACCCCTGAGATCATCTGAGGTCTACTCCTACTAGTGGAGCCCACACTTTGCTCACTCACCATTAGCCCAGGAGAAGCCCAGTTGAGGCTGCCTGGGCTCTGGGTCCATTCTCCACCAAGCTTCCTGACCACTCTCTTTTCCATTTTGGGCATACCACATCTTACTCTGGTTTCTTGCTTTCATTTACCAACTTATGCTTTTTTCTTCTCTCTCAGGTCCACCCCCCTCCATTTCCTTCTCATACTCACATACTGTTCCTAGAATTAGCAGCCAATCTATTCTAAATGATATTTCTATTCCTACCTCCAAGTCTGATTTTCCTTACTGATTTTTAAACACAACTTCTTATAAATAAAGAAGATAAAAGTCTAACAAATATTAAAAATTAGCCTGTTAACATCTGATTATGAAATGTATACCCACTGTGGGAAATTTGAAAATTTCAAAGTTATGAGAAAACAGCAACGTCAAGATTCCACACAGAACTACTATTTTCTTGATCTTTAACCTCCACTTGTTTTTTCTATCCAATTTTTATTTAACATAGATCATCCTTTATATAAAACATTCTTAATTTTCTATTACATAATTTCTTCATGTTACTTTGTGAATATAATTCCTAATGGACCCAATAGTCCATAGTATGAAAAAAGCATAACTCCTTATCAATTTTCCAACCACTGGAAATAAAGTTCTATTTTTTTCTACTATTACTAGTAATACTGTGGCTACTTAGTGTATGGATCTATGTGCATTTCAGATATTTTCTTAAGATAAACAACTATAGAAATGGAATATTATAGAATAAGTCTTATATTAGGCAAAATTACTTATATTCAAAATTATCCTTGAGTCTTTTAGAAAACTGATCTTAAGTCCAATGCAGCAGGTCTCCCCCACCCCCTGTAACGTGGGAAGGAACACACACACACACACACACACACACACACACACCCACCCACCCACCCACCCACCCACCAGCTGGAATTCTCATTCAGGATCAGCCTGCCTGGAAAAAACAGCAGATTCACATTTCCCTTGTCACATCAAACTCAGACTGAGATGGTCAACAGAATCTTTAATTCTACTTATGTTGTTCTATCTTGCTTTTTTGTTGACCTTGAATAAATTTAAATACATGAATGATAAGATTCCAGAGTATGAATACTTTCATCGGGTATGGGACACATGCTTTCAAGTCAATTTAGTGGATGACCTTTCATCAGCATGCAAGTCAGTCCCTTTCTAGACACAGAACCCTAATTTACACCATCCATAAGGCACAAGGACTTTGTGGATAAGACAGACCAAACCAGAATCCAGGGAAAGCCAACAAAATCACTAATAATGGACACTCAACTAAACTATAAAAGGTGTCAAATCCTTTTGTTTTTTTAAAGTACTTCTTAAAGTGTGATTTTCCTAATGCCAATCTAGCAATTAATAACAGCATAAAACGTGAAATAACCTGGAACATAAAAAAATAACTTCATACGTCAACAAGATGGTGGACTACAAAGCTCCAGACTCCTGTTCCCCCACAGAAAACGCAACAACATATGGACCAAAGTGTCTTTGTAAGAAATCTAGAAACCAGTTAAGAAGGTGCAGCAACCAAGCAAACACCTCAACAAGAAAAAGCTGCACTCAAGGCAGAAAATTTCATCGAATTTTTCCTCACCCTTGCCTCACACCCTCCTCAGTGCAGCACAGCATGGTCAGGAGGAAACTGACCAATTCCTGGCTCCTCCCTCAGGACAGAAGGAAAAGAGTGGAATCTGCTTGCAACATTCCAACTTGTATGAGGGCTTCCCAAGGGACTGTTTTCTAGCTTGCCTTTCTCAGAGCACTGATGGGAACAGTGACATAGTTTAGATATGCTAAAAGCAGTGGTGGGTCCCATGACAGGAGAGATCTGCAGAGGGACTGCAGACTCATGGGCACCTATGGACAAGAGATTATGGGCAGAGGAATACAACAGACAGCTGATAAGGCTCCTAGAGGAAGCAGGGGCGAGACTCTTAAGGAAATTAACACTTAAAAGCAGCCAAGTATACATGGGATCTAGAAGCAAAGCACATGCAAGGGCTCAGGGAAGATGGATCCCCAGAAAACCTGAGCTTTTATGCCAGGCTGTTTGGTGAAGATCTTCCCATGCACAGAGCCAGTGTGCAAAGAATGGGAGAGGTGGCTGTTTATTTAAATGCCCAAATTTCAACAAAAGATCACAAGGTATAGAAAGAAAGAGGGAAACATGGCCCATTCAAAAGAATAAAATAAATCCCCAGAAACCAATACTAAAGAAACACATGCCTCCAACTTACTTGACAAAGATTTTAAAACTGTCTTAAATATGTTCAACAAGCTAAGGAGAACTCACACAGACAGCTAAACAAAATCAGGAAAACAATACATGAACAAACTGATAATATCAACAAAGAGAAATTATTAAAAAATCGAAATTCCAGAGCATAAAAATACAATAACTGAATTGAAAGCATCAGCAAACTTGAAAACAGTTCATTTGAACTACTGAGTCTCAGAAGCAAAAAGAAGCTTAAGGGACTTAGGGGACACCATCAAAAAGACCAATATACACATCATGGAAGTCGCAGAAGTAAGGAAGGGGCAGAGAACTTATTTGAAGAAACAATGGCCAAAAACTTCCCAAATTTGAGAAAAAGAAATGGATAAACAAATACAAGATATTACTTCGAAGTAGGATAAAGCCAAAGAGATCCACACCAAGACACATTATAATCAAACTGTAAAGAACCAAAGTCAATAGATCGTGAAAGCAATGAGAGAAAATTGATTCATCACCTACAAGGGAGCCTCTGTAAGGTTACCAGTGGATTTCTCAGCATAAACCTTGCAGGTCAGAAGGCTGTTGGATGATATATTTAAACTGCTCACAAAAAAACCCTGTCAACCAAGATTCTATATCCAGCAAAACTGTCCTTCAAAAATAGGAAGAAATTAAGACATTCCCAGATAAACAAAAGCTAATGGATAAGGAGTTCATTATCACTAGATGTTCAGTGGGAGTTCTTCAAGTGGAAACTAGACCATAACTTGAAGCCATGTGCAAATAAAAAGTTCTCCAGTAAAGGCAAATATATGGACAAATATAAAAGCCAGTATTATTATAACTGTTTCATAACTCCACTTTTAATTTTGTAGGATTTAAAAGCATAAAATAAATCTGTTAATAGGTAAACAACATATAAATACGTAATTTGTGGCATTAATAACAAAGTGGGGGTAACAAAGTTGTAAAAGAGTAGAATTTGTATATGTGATTAAAGTAAGTTATTATCAGTCTGAAGTAGACTGTTATAATTTTAGCATGTTTTATGTAATTCCCATGGTAACCACAAAGAAAATATCCATAGAATATACACAAAAGGAAATGAGAAGGGATTCAAAACACATCACTACAAAAAAAAATTAAACACAAAGGAAGGTATTAAGGGAAGAAACGAAGGACAAAAAAGCTCTAAGATATATAGAAACAATTAACAAAATAGCAATAGTTATGTCTTTCTCTATAAGTAGTTACCTTAAATGGAAACTGATTAAACTCTCCAATCAAAAGACACAGACTGGCAGAATGGATACAAAACAGGATCCAACTATATGCTGTCTACAAGAGATTCACTTTAGATTTAAGGACATACACAGTTTGAAAGTGAAAGGATGGAAAAAGATATTCCACACAGTAAGAGAGCAAGGGTGGCTATACTACTATCAGACAAAATAGACTTTAATTCAGACAATGTCAGAAGAGACAAAGAACAATACTGTATAAAGATAAAGCAGTCAAGTGACCAATAAGATAGAACAGTTATAAATATATATGCACCAAACATCAGAGCTTCCAAATATATGAAGCAAACAGTAACAGAATTGAAGCAAGAAAGAGACAGCCCTACAGTAATAGTAGGCAACTTCAATACCCAACTTTTTCTGGCTAAAACCACAGAGATCATTAAGAAAATAGAGGACTTGAACAACACTACAGACCAAGTGGACTTAACAGATACAGAACGTTCTACCAAACAACAAAATAGACATTTTTCTCAAGTGCATATGGAACATTCTCCAGGACAGGCCATATATTAGGCCACAAAACAAGACTTAATAGATTTAAAACATACAAGCATCTTCTTTGATCACAGTAGAATGTAACTAGAAATCAATACCAGCAGGAAAACAGAAAAATCCGTAAATGTTAAAATTAAACAACATACTCTTTAACAACCAATGAGTCAAAGAGGCTATCACAAGGAAAATTTAAAAAGAAATAATCTGAAATCCACAACTGAAGTTAACACCTAAAAGCTAGAAAAGGAAAAGCAAATTAAACCTGAAACTAGCAGAAGGAAGGAAACAAAGATTAGAGATAAACAAAACAAAGAATAGGAAAATAGAGATAAATCAACAAAATCAAGAGGTGCTTATCTGTAAAAATCAATACAGACATGCACTGCATAACAACATTTCAGTCAAGGACAGACTGCATATCCAACACTGGTGCCATAAGATTAGTACCATATAGTCTAGGTGTGTAGTCAGCTATATATCATCTAGCTTTGCGTTAAGTACATTCTATAACGCCTGCACAACAATGAAATCACCTAATGACACATTCTCAGATCATACCCCTATCATTGAGTAACGCCTGACTGTATTGGCAAACCTTAGCCAGACCAACTAAGAAAGGGAGAAGATTCAAATAACTAAAAACAGAAATCAAGAGAGGATATTATAACTGATTTTACAGAAATAAAAAGAATTATAAAAATACTATAAACAACTGTACATCAAGTTAGATAACATACATGAAATGGATTAATTCCTAGAAACACACAACCTACCAAGAAATGAATCAGGAAGAAACAGATGACATAAACAGACCTATAATTAGTAGGGAGATTGAATCAGCAATCAAAAACCTCACAACTTGCAGCCCGGTGGCGTAGCAGTTAAGTTTGAACGTTCTGCTTTGGCAGCCTGGGGTTCAACAGTTCAGATCCTGGGCACAGACACAGGTACCACTAATCAAGCTATGCTATGGCAAGCATCCCACGTATAAAATAGAGGAAAAAGGGCACAGGGCTAATGCTCCTTAAAAAAAGAAAACCTCACAACAAAGAAAAGCCTAGGATTAGATGGCTTCACAAGTAAATTCCACTAAACTTCTAAAGAATTAACAGCAATCCTCCTCAAGCTCTTCCAAAAGAACTGTAGAGGAAGAACACTTCCAAATTCACTGTATGTATTGTGTGTGTGTATATTTTTTTTTCTGTGTTTTAACATGTTTTGACATCTTGAAGAACATTTCTGGGGTGGGGAGAGATGGCCCCTACCATGTTTCCTAAGCCTCTGTCTACTCTTGTGGCCACACCTGATTGACCATCTCATTAAGGAATGCAAAACACTCTACAAGGCCAGCATTACTCTGATACCCAAGCCAGACAAAGAAAACTATAAAACAATATCCCTGATAAATATACATGCAAAAACTCTTAACAAACAGAATTCAACAGCTCTTGAAGAAGGTTATACACCATGACCAAGTCGGAACTATTCCTGGAATACAAGGATGATTAAACACACGAAAATCGATGAAATACACCACAGAAGAAAGGCAAAAACCACAAGATCATCACAATTGATAAAAGCGTTTGAAAAATTCAATACCTTTTCATGATAACAATTATCATGAAACAAATTAGGGAGAGAAGGAAACTACCTTAACATAATAAAGGCCATATATGAAATGCCCACAACTAATATCATACCCAATGATGAAAGACTGAAAGCTTTTCCTCTAAGATCAGGAAAAAGACAAGGATGCCCACTCTTACCACTTCTATTCAACATGGTACTTGAAGTCCTAGCCATAGCAATTAGGTAAGAAAAATAAATAAAAGACATCCAAATTGGAAAGGAAGAAGAAAAACTATCTCTGTTTGCAGAAGACCAGATCTTAAAGAACCCTAAAGATTCCACAGAAAAAAACTGTTAGAATAAACTCAAACAAAATTATAGGATACAAAATCAACACATGAAAATCAGTTGCATTTCTACACACTAAAAATGAAGAATCAGAAAAGAAAACAATTCCAATTACAATAGCATTAAAAAGAATACTAAGAATAAACTTAACCAAAGAGGCAAAAGACTGGTATACTGAAAACTATAAAACATTGCTGAAAGAAATTAAAGACACAAATAAATGGAAAGACATTGCATGTTCATGGACTGGAATACTTATAATTATTAGGATGTCCATACTAAAAGTGATCTACATCTATAATGCAATCTCTATCAAAATCCCAACAGTATTTCTGCAGAAATAGAAACATTCATGCTAAAATTCTTATAGACTATCAAGGGATCCTGACAAAACCATCTTGAAAAAGAAGACGAAGTTGGAAGACTAACACTTCCTGATTTCAAAACTTACTATAAAGCTCAACAGATCAGAGACCTAAAAGTGAAAGATAAAACTCGTAAAAGAAAACAAAAAAAGCTTTATAACATTGGATTTGGCAATGATTTCTTGGATATGACATTAAAAGCACAAGCAATAAAAGAATTACATAAATTAGACTCCATCAAAGTTTAAAATTTCTGTGCAAAGGATACAATCAACAGAGTGAAAAGGCAATCTCACAGAATGGGAAAAAATATTCGCAAATCATATATCTGACAAGGCGTTTAAAGAACTCCTACAACTCAACAACAACAAAAAACCAATCAGTTTAAAGATGGGGAAAGGACTTAACAGATATTCCCCCAAAGAGGATATACAAACAGTCAAAAAGAACAAGAAAACACAATCAACATCATTAACCACTAGGGAAATGCAAATGAAAACCAAAATGATACACCATCTCATACCCGTTAGGACGGCTCCTATTTAAAAAAAAAAAAAAAGAGAGAGAACAAGTGTTAACAGGGATGTGGAGAAACTGGAACCCTTGTGCACTGCTGGTAGAATGTAAAATGGTGCAGCTGCTATGTAAAATAGGATGGCGGTTCCTTAAAAAACTAAAAATAGAACTACTATATGATCCAACAATTCCACTTCTGGGTATATACTCAAAGTACTGAAAGTAGGGTCTCAAAGAGCTATTTGCACACATCATAGCAGCATTATTCACAAAATTCAAAAGGTGAAAGCAATCCAAGTGTCCACTAACAGATGAATACAGTCATGCACGGCATAACGCCATCACGGTCAGCAACACACCACATATACAACAGTGGTCCCATAAGATTACTACCATATAACCTAGGTGTGTAGTAAGCTATACCATCTAGGTTTATGTAAGTACACTCTGATGTTCACACAACAAAGAAATCACCTAATGATGCATTTTTCAGACTGTATCCCCAACATTAAGCAATGCATGGCTGTAAACAAAATATGGTATATACATAAAGTGAAGTATTATTTACCCTTAAAAAGGAAATTCTGACAGATGCTGTAATGGATGAACCTTGAGGACATTACATTAAGTGAAATAAGCCAGTCACAAAAAGACAAATACTGATGATTCCACTTACATGAGGTAACTAGTCAAATTCATAAAGAAAGGACAATGGTGGCTGGCATGCAATAGAAGGAAATGGGAGGGTTGTTTAATGAGTACAGTTTTTGCAAGATGATAAGAGTTCTGAAGATTGGCTGTACAACAATGTGAATGTACTCGACAATAACGAACTGTACATTTAAAAATAGTTAAGACAGGGGGCCAGCCCTGTGGCCTAGTGGTTAAATTCTGCACACTCCACTTCGGGGGCCCAGGTTCAGTTCCTGGGCATGGACCTACACCACTTGTTGGCGGCCATGCAACATACCAACATATAAAATAGAGGAAGATTGGCACCGTTGTTAGCTCAAGGCGAATATTCCTCAGCAAAGGGAAAAAGACAGTTAAGACAGTAAATTTTATGTTATGTGTATTTTACCACAATTTAAAAAAATTCTAAACAGTAACTTCAAATAGCCATATTACCTTTATATTCCAAAATCACTTTGCACTCTGAAAGATACCAGCCTTCCTCATCTCCTCAAAATCTTTCATGGAATCATAATTTCTGTAGAAATCTGCATATGCTTTCTTTCTCGGTTCAGCCACAGCAAACTAAAAAGTAACATATTCCATTAGAACTTATTTTTTAGATTATTAGAAACAATACTAAAGACAACATAAATCACAATACATTATGTGTGTGTTCACCTTTAACTTGAACCCTCTATTTCCTAAAACAAACGGTGGAGGCACTGAGACAGATGCAAGGAAAGAAAAAGCAGCCTTAGGGAAACTACTTAGCAAGAGGAGCCCTCCTTGCCTAGGGATGGATTTTGTTGCGTGGGTGGGTGGGTGTTGGGGGGGTGTGTACAGACTGGTAAGAGCCAAAGGGAGACACCCAGAAAGCTAAAAGATTTAGGGAGAAGGTAGACTGCAGCCTTCCCTCTGGCCAAAGCTAAATATTTCCACAGCTGAGACCAGCTAAAATATTCTGATTCAATTTAAGTTATACTATTAATTTCAAAGGAGTCTGAGATTGATTCTGTAACCATGTGCCTCTGAAAGGCACAGAAGCTTTCTATCTGGCAAGAGCCCTGGGTGATTTAGACTTCAACGTTAAGCCCTTAGAATAGACACTGACCTGTTTTACACATGAGGAAAAGGACTCAGAGTTTAAGTGACTTGATTAAGGGCTAGGGAGAAGCACTAGTTGGTAGGTGGCTCAACCAGGATTCACACCCAGGTCTGTCATCTGGCAAAGGTTTTATTCTCCAGAAAACACTGCCTAAAAGATTTCAATGTGTGTATTATAATCTAAATTCAAATCCCATCCTGCATATAAAAACCAGTAAAAAATTCTTCTGGGGCCGGCCCGGTGGCACAGTGGTTAAATTCACACGTTCCGCTTCTCAGTGGCCTGGGGTTCATCAGTTTGGATCCCGGGTGTGGACATGGCACTGCTTGGCAAGCCATGCTGTCGTAGGTGTCCCACATATAAAGTAGAGGAAGATGGGCATGGATGTTAGCTCAGGGCCAGCCTTCCTCAGCAAAAAGAGGTGGATTGGCAGTAGTTAGTTCAGGGCTAATCTTCCTCAAAAGAAAAAAAAAATTCCTCCTAGTGCCAATCCACATCAGTTAAGGTGCTGCAGAAACATGGAATCATGATACTTCATCTTAACACAGCAAGAGCCTTCCATCTGGCCAGTTTTACCGCTTCACCTATTTGAATTCCCAACTTCTTCCAGTAAAACCAAGAGGCATAAGCCCCACTGCAACCCTCTGAACAAGGTCTGCTCGGACCCATTACCTACCTACAAAGCAACTGTGAGCATTCTGTCATAACAAGAAAAATATTTTTTGTTTTAAAAACATTGAACACTAAGGCAGAGAGAAATAACATAAAAGGCTCAGTCAACAAACCCAAGAAATAAAAGCAAATGAATTTTATATTTTTTTAATTTATACGAGATACCTAGAGTAGTTAAAATCAAAGACAGAAAGCAAAACTGTGGTTCCGCGGGGTGGGGATGGGGAGTGGGGAATGGAAGGTTATTGTTTAACGGATACAGAGTTTCAGTTTTACAAGACGAAAAGTCACGGAGATGGTGACGGTTGCACAATATTATGAATGTATTTAATACCACTGAACTGCACACTTTAATATTTGTTAAATTTTATGTGTATTTTACAATTTAAAAAAACTTATTAAAAAAACCAAAAGGCACAACACTAAAATCCATAGAAAGCACAGAGTTAAAATGCAACTCTGTGGCAACAATTCTTCAAGGTGCCAAACAGAACTACTGCCTTCCCCATCCCTCTGCTTAAATAAAACAATTATAGCCTGTGCTATGAGCTGAACTTTCTCTCCCAAAATTCGTGTGAAGTCTTAATCCCCCAGCACCTCAGAATGTAACAGTATTTAGAGATAAAGTCTTTAAAGAGGTAATAAAGTTAAAACGAGGTCTTTGGCGTGGGTCTTAATCCAGTACGACTAGCATCCTGATAAAAGAAAATCCAGACAGACACAGGCTAAGACACAGAGGACCATCTGAAGACACAAGGAGAAGCCAGCCATCTACAAGCCAAGCCAGAGGCCTCAGAAGAAATCCACCCTGCAGCCACCTTGATCTGAGATCTCCAGCCTCTCAAACAAACAATGAATTTCTGCTGTTTAAGCCACCCAGTTTGTGGTACTTTGTCATGGCAGCCCTAGCTTCATTTACCGAAGGACAAGCTATCCCAGGAATATGAAGTACTTTCCTGTCACACTGAGGTGAGTGGAGGAAAGGTAAGTGGAAGGAGGCATACTAAAGAGGGAGTTCCTTTAAAAGACTCTAAACTATTTATGAAAATAAAATACATTTTTAAATTTAAAAGACATATTTGGGCCATACGCAGAGTAAAAATCAAACATACATACCTTATAGAAAGTTGCAACACTCAAGGATACAATGAATGCTCCAACGATGTGAAATCGCAGACGCTTGGCCAGAAGGCCACGCATCTGGGGTTTCGTCAAAGCACTGGAAGCCATGGTAGTTATTCCCCCTGGTAGGTAAAATAGTAAGAAAAGAGAAGTCTTAGAACATAGTAAGATATCTAAAGAATTCTGCCGCATAATGTATTTATTACCTAGAAAGGCAGAGGGAGGATAGGCGACGGCCTCCTCCCACAAAGCCTAACGTGTTTAAAGCTCAGCCTGCTTCCTCGTTTTCCCCTCTCACAGACGGAACGACCACCCTAAATAAGCGAGAGAACTGCGGCCGCGACAGTAACCGCGGAGCAGAAACTACCAACAAGACTCCCCCAGACCCAGGAAGCTGGGCAGCGGCTCTAGACCGACAAGCGCCAATGCACTTACAGCTTTTAATCTTCCAGACACCCCTGAGACAGTCATCATTCCCATTTTACTGATGACAAAACTGGGGCACACGAAAGTTATGTCACTTGTCCAAGGCCACGCGGTAAAGGATTACAAGCGGGCCAGGAGGCCCAGTGAGCGGCGGCGCGGGCCGAGCCTGCAGACTCCGCTAACGCGGCGGCGGGCAGGGCCGGAAAGGAGGCCGCGGCGGGACGGCCCTTCCCTCCCGCCACAGGCACGGCTGCCCTTCTCCAGCTTCCCTCGTGGAGTCACAAACGCTGGCGCACAGCTAACGCCGCCGAGCGCCGGCCCCTACGCCTCGAGGCAGGCTGAGGAGGAAACCCCTACTCCTTTTCCGCGGGTGAAAACACGGGCCAGACGGGCCAAATGACCTAAGCAAGGTCACAGTGACTAGGGGGAAACGCAGCGGGAAGTGGGCCGAGGCCGGCCGCCTCCGCAGCCCGGTAGGTTCCTCGAGGCCCCCGCAGCCCACTTGGCTCCTGGGGGCCCCGCCGCCAGCCCGCCGCCCTCCTGAGGTCGCGGTGGGGGCGTACAGGGGTCGACGCAGCCGAGAGGTCCGAGGTTCCTCGACCACAGAGATGCAGTCACGACTCAGCTCCACGGCAGACTGAGAGCAGGGAGCGGGAGGTGGCGGTTATGGTTCGGGCGTCCCCGAACGAAGGACGCAACACAGCTCACCTTAACACCGGCGTCCTTCCTGACTGACGGAGAAATGGACGACTCTGCGGCAGCGCGCAGGCGCAGAAGGAGAGCGAACGCAGAGGACCCAGCAACGGTAGCCGAAAGAGCTCAAGAGACCTGCAGCGCGCTTCACACCAGTCAGCTGAAGTTCACCACTAGTTAGCTTGCCTGGGTGACCTTCAATTTAGGTTACCTTCTGAGTGGGTTTCCTTAGTATGTTGGAGAAATTAATCTTGCTCATATACAGAATTAATATGAATTTATTAGAGAATTCGAAGGTATTTAATATGTGAATTAAAAAAAAATAATTCTCTACAAATAGAATACAAATCATCCTGGGCTCATAGATTGCCGGAACCATGTGCACAAGCTGACATTTTCATTATAACTACCCTTATGAGAATAACCGCTTGGTTTGGGTAAAGGGTGAATAAGACAGCAGAGTTCTAGGAGCTCAGAGCCCAGCAGATGAGACGGACGTAAACAGATGACTACAAATCCCAAGCGGTGGGTGCCACCCCAGAGACCTGACCCAGCTACTGCAGAAGCAATTACCTACCTGGCAGAGTTGAGCAAGTGTTGATGGAAGTATTTGATGAGATTTTTAGTAAAAGACAAGTGTTTTAAAGGAAGACAACTGGAAGTTTATGGAAAGTGGTATGTAAGGTGACAAGACATTTTTCACATATTGAGGTATATGGGGTAGCTATTTGGGTTCAAAACTGATTTAGATTGAACTAAAGGAGCCTAATTTATGACCTATCAAACATACGTTGTACATCTGCTTTAACCATTTAAGAATGCACTCTCTCAAAATAAGAATGCATACTTCCCCTCCTCTGCCCTATAGGTAACGCCCATATTAGTCCTTTTCCGAGCCTCAGGGTCCTGTTGATCTGCTAATTTGCAACTGAATACCTCTTAGAAACTTTGATGAATATGCTTCCTGGGTGTATTTAATATATATTCTTTGTTCTAAAAAGGTATAAGACTACTGAAAATGGTGCTTCTCTGGAACACTTTCTTCCTTTGTGGAAACTGTCTTCCTGGATTATAATCCACACCCTGGCTCAAGGAAAACTCACTCTTTCCCTCTTATCTATAGAATGGTTATTGGTTATTTTGTGTCAATAGGGGCTTGGTTATCATTGAAATAACCTAGATTTATATGATGTTGAGTCAACTCAGCAAGCACTGTGGAAGGTACACTGGGACACAAAAGATAGTGATATTGATTCAACTTATATTGATTAAGCATTTACTATGTACGAGGCTCTGCTATATAGTAGGACAGATCTTCAAGGAAGTGTGTTCTTGTCAGGAAGTCTTTATCCTCAACTTGTCAACACTCTGGGAAGTGAAAACTTTCAGCCACACAGAAAAGGTGCTAATTGAGGGCCAAAGTGGGTTTGTACCTCGACAACGCTTTTTTCAGCCCTCTTAACAAGGGCCTACCCAGCTAAAAATCTTTACATGGGATTTGCTCCCATTTCCTTTCCATCCCCTCTCCCATGATTGACCCAGAGAACAAGCAGTAAATTTCAGAGTTCACAGGGATTGATTGCTATGTGTTAAATCATCAGGGAAAGCTTCAAGGAACTCATGGAAGAGATGGAAGCAGAACTGAGTCTCAGTCTAATTGAGAGGCCTAGAGAAGTGGAGAAATCTAAGAAACAACATTGGTCATGAGAATGTGGCAACAATAGACACGCTCAGGGAAGAAAGCCTGGCCTGGATAGAGTGCTGAGTGGGTTGTTTGGGAACACCGGATGGGTAGACAAGCACAGGGCCAATCACAATAACCCGTGGTGAATGACCTGAATAGAACCTGAATGATAAGGGTAAACAGAGGGGAGGGCATATGTGGGTTCTGTTCTAGAGCCTAACAGACCTGGATTTAAGTGCCAGCCCATAACCTTCTGGCTGGCAAATTTCTTTTTCTTCTTCTTCTTATCCCCAAAGTACCCCAGTACATAGTTGTATACTCTAGTTGTAGGTCCTCTGGTTCTGCTATGTAGGACACTGCCTCAGCATGGCTTGACGAGTGGTGCTACGTCCATGCCTAGGATCTGAACCAGCGAGGCCCTGGGTCACAGAAGCGAAGCAAGAGAATTTAGCCAGTTGGCCATGAGCCGGCCCCTAGCTGGCAAATTTCTTAATCTTTCTAAGTCTGCTTTCTCCTCTCTAAAATGTTACCCATTTTTACTTTGTTGGGTTGTAGTGCAAATTAAATGAGATAATGCATGCATGTATAGTGCTTGGCAAACATTCTAAATATGCATTCCTCCCTCTCTCTTTTTTGCTTGCCCTGAATTTCTTTCTTCCTCCTTCTAATAGCAGTACTTGATTGTCCTCCCAGGAACCAACCCTTCCCCACTTCCAGCCATGTGGTTCTAGAAGAGCCAAACCCTATTCCAGTTGGGCATATCACCCAAAAGTAGCCAAACAATGTAGCCCATCCCCTTGGCCACAGCAATTTGCTGGGGATGGGCACTGGACTCTGGACAGGCCAGTGAAACTCAATTCTACAACTTCTGTTAAAAGTATTGGGGGGAGCCAGCCCCGTGGCCGAGTGGTTAAGTTTGCACACTCCGCTTTGGCGGCCCAGGGTTTCACTGGTTCAGATCCTGGGCGTGGACATGGCACCACTCATCAAGCCATGCTGAGGTGGCATCCCACATGCCACAACTAGAAGGACCCACAACTAAAATATACAACTATGTACCAGGGGGCTTTGGGGAGAAAAAGGAAAAATAAAATCTTAAAAAAAAAAAAAAACTACTGGGAAAAAGGCTCTCTTTCTTTCAGGGGATGTAATGGGTTTGGGATGGAGTAGGCATCTTGCTGATCTGTAAGACTGTGAGAACAGAGAGTACTGTGTGCTTATAATGTGCCAAGTACCGTTCCAATAACACAAAGAACCTACATTCATGCAGCTTACATTCTAGTGGGTCTGGAGAAAGTGACAGACAATAAACAAAAATATGTCAGATAGTAATAAGCTCAATGGAAAAAATAGAGTAGAGTAAGGATAAAGATAGTCTGTGTGAAGAGGTATCTGTTTTATACTGGAAGTTTGAGAAAGAGTTGGTCAGTCTGACTCAAGCTCATGGTCTACACCAGAGTAAAAGATGGCTCAGTGAAAGGATGGGGCTTGTTCTGTATGGCCCCAAGGAATAAACTAGGATGGCTGGGTGGAAGATACTGGGAGTTACGTTTCAGTTAAGTATTCACAATGGCTAGTAATCAGTCCCCTTCAAGGTGATCCTCAACCAGAGACACATCTAGTTGGAGGAGGCAAGGATCCTTTGATTGGTAGAGAAACGATGCAACAGTCTTGCTTCTCCTATGTCTTTTCATCCTGGCCTTGACAATCACCAGGTCAATGTGTTGCCTTAAAATGTGTTGAAAAGATGCCACTTTACGGGCTTTCAATGCAAAATAACCAATAACCATTCTATAGATAAAAGAAATAAGGTGAATTTTACTTGAGTCAGAGTCAGGATTATAACCCAGGAAGACCTTAGAAAACATTCCAGGAAGCATGGTTTTCAGTACGGACTTATATCTTTTTAAAACAAAGGACATATATCAAACACAACCAGGATATATTTTCAAAGTTTCAAAGAGGTATTCAGTTGCAAATTAGCAAGTCAACATGACCCTGATGGCAGAAAAAGGGACTAACACAGGCATTACCAATAGAGTGTAGGAGGGAAGGTATGCATTCTTATCTCAAAAGAGTGCATTCTTTACTTTAATGGTCAAAGCAGATGTACAAAACATGCCCAACAGGCCATAAATCAGGCCTCTCTAGGTCAAGCTGAACCAGTCCTGAAGCTGAATAGTTACCCCATATACCTCAATATGTGAAAACCTCTTGTCAGGGCTTAGGGGAACTTCTATCGTGGCTCTCCCATTACTACTCTGTTCTCAAGATGCTTCTGAGATGACCTGGCCCTCTCACCTGTGCTCAGCCCCTCACAGTGTGGAAAGTGTATACAATACCTAGAAAGGCAAATTACAATGCCAAGAGCTAAAAGAAATGAATGGACCCTGAAACAAATTAGCCTCTTTTTCCTAAAAAGTGTAAAACCATTTCAACTGTAAGATGCATCAGTGATATAGTATCAATGAGAAGGACCATGAATAATTTTGTGGATTAAGAAAAATGTGAGGAACTGAGAAGTTAAAAACAACAACCTCCCTGTGAGGTAAAATAGAGCAGTTACAGTATTTGACAAACCTTAGGGGTAGATCTGTTGACTCTTCTACCTATAACTTATTTCTACTTTGAAATTTTACAAATAATAAAAGATTGCTGAGTCAGAGTTAGATATGGATCATCACAAAGTTTGGGTCTGGGGTACTTTTTTTACCTGACCATATTCAAGATGTAGATAAGAATCCAAGGGAACTTTTAGGGACTGGTAAAATGATGCTATGGTTTCTTCTCAGCAACATTGTTATTGACTAAGCAAATGCTGTGAGTGATCATCTGAAAATGACAAAATGACCTCTTGCTCCGAGAGACTAACAATGATGAACATAGTTCCAGATGAGTTGGAAGTTTGCTGGCTCTGCATGCTCCCAGAAAGGCAACCTCTGCGGGAGAGATCCCTCACTGTCACTGATGCTGTCTGGCAGAGCTTGGGAGTCACAGAAGGAGCAGTGTGGTTTAAGGAGGGAACTGGTTGAGTGTTCTAAGCTCATCAGCTGCAGCACTGTCCCATATCTAAATGGAGTCACTGCAGCTTATGTCAAACAATGGGGACAGTTCAGAAGAGATATAGCTCTTTCCTCAAAGATGGTCCTGTAGGGGAGAAAGATAATTCCTCTACCCTCTAGATCCTTCTGGCTGGCCTAAGAATTAAATTGACATGAGACAGAATAAAAGGAGAAAATCAAAGAAAGCTTTATGACGTGTATACATGGGAGAAACCCAGGAAAACTGAGCAACTCATCAGAATGGCCAAAACTGCCACCTTAAA